CAACTTGTTGTAACGTGTACAATTTTTTAAAGAAAATTAAATTTAACGATTAAAAAATAAAAAAATTTGATTAATATAATTAAATCAAATTTCACTTACCTGACGACATGTAATTTCAGCGTATTTATCTTGTAGTCGAAAATGAGCGTCCTGCCAATCCTTCACAAACATTAACGCTTCCAAAATATCTTCTTTCAGTCAGCTCCTGACATCGGTCAAAACCCTTTTACTTGCACTAAAAGCAGACTCCGAAGCAACGGTGCTAACCGGAGGTGTCAATGGATCTTTCTTAATTGCAAAAACAATTGGCCAACGTCTTTCATACTTTCGCCAGAATTCAATTATTTCTTCTGAAGTTTTTTTAATTGTTCTGTCTGTTAGCATATTATGATTGAAATAATCAATTAATTCGGCAGGCATCGCATTTTGAGTTTCGACCGATATTTGATGAGATGCAGATGTAGATGACATGGCACTAGATGAACACATTGCAGTTGCATCATATTTAAATGTATTAATGCCCTGAAATAAATTCATTATTTCCGCAGCATCTTCTTCAATTTCAGCAGAAGAAGTAGGTGCAGCAAAGGGTACCCGACTAACATTCGCACCCATTCTTTCCGCATATAAATCATACTGTTCACATAATGTTTGCTCTAAATTCTTTTAGGTGATAGGTGTATCAAGTATTAAAACTTTATTGATTCGATCAATTACGTATTTAGTTCTCGAAATATTATATCGGGGGTCCATTACGCATGCTAAAGGAAATAAAGTACATAGTTCTTCCCAATATTTTCTAAACTTTAATTCCATAACAATTAAAATTTCACTAAAAGTATGATCATTTTTATATTTATGGAATGTTCTTGCAATTATATAAAGACGTTTAAACACCATACAGCTTGTGGGATAATAAACGCCGAATAAAATCTTTGTGGTCTCATAAAAAAATGTCAAAAATCGTTTAACTTTCAAAACTAAAATCCAATCGGATTCATTTAACATACCATCGTCATCACTTCTAACATGTCTATTGTTATAAAAGTCAGTTATTAAATTTTCGAAATCTTCACATGATTTTAATAGCAAGTATGTAGAGTTCCATCTATGACCTACGTTGCTAACAAATGTTTTAGCAGTCATCACCCCTAGTTCGGCACAAAAATCTTCAAATGTTTGTTTTCTACTATGAGAAATCGTAATATATACTAATGCATTCCTAATCATTTGAAGTTCATCCTTTATATGTTTTAAACCATCTTGCACAATTAAATTCAAGATATGACACACACAACGAATATGAAACAAATACCCACCAAAATCAGATTGAAGTGTCCTACACAATTTATCAACGACTACTTTATTAACACTAGCATTATCAAAAGTAAAATATCGAATTTTAGTCTCACAATGATATTCTCTAACAATACTGATAATAGCATTATATATATTATTAGTATTGTGAGGAAATTCAATAATTCTAAAAGCAATAAATTTCTTATGCATGCACCAAAGTGGGGCTATATAGTGTGCGGTTGCAGCTATATATGCTCTTTTATTAACCCCTTCCCATATATCAGAAGTTAAGGATATAACACCCCATATTGTTGCAAATCCATAATTAATTGTTGTTTTGAATTATTGAAATAATTTATTGTATCGGCACGAAGAGTATTTCGACTTACCCCAACGTACCTCGGTTGTAGATATTCTTTCATGAATGAGACGAAGTGTCGGTTGTCTGCAATAACTAGAGGCAACTCAGTGGCGGCAACAAATTTCACCATTTCGGTTCGAGTATCGTCCTTCGAATACACCCATGTGGATAGCGGTGAAGTTGTAGAACCGGTGCCTGGACTGCCAAATTGCAATTGTGTTTGACTAGTTGGAAGAAATCCATGTCTGGCTGCACATGATTTGTAGTGGCGGTTGAGATGAGTGGTACCAATTCTTTTTTGCCATGTCAATCTTTGTTGGTAGTAATTATATACCACTTTAGATTCTGTAAGGCCATCAACAACTTTTTCCGTTTAAATCAACTTAAAGTGATCCCAACATTTTACTTGTTTTTTGGCCTTTCGCTTTCCCCTCGCATCTGGGATATTTAATTGTTGATCTTCATCTTCATGTTCCGCTTCGAGAACGTTAATATCATCCAAATCAATTGGATTGTGGCTTCCCTGACCGTGAATGTGAACATATTCAGGTATCGGTATGTCATTTAGACCAGCAAATTCATTTGGAAATTGACTTTGCGGCGTCCTAGGCGATTCTCCATGATGTAGCAGTGGCTCACATCCTGTATCGAACAAACTCTCAACAAATGAACGTTGATCCATTTCTGTGATTGTTTATGAAGAAATCTTGACTAGATGAATATAAATGTAGTGAGATTGTGAGAATTGAGAATTGAGAATTGGATAAATTGAAATTGTAACTAATAAACTGTAAAAATTGAATTAATATTGTATATTTTACAGCACAAGAGAGTAAAAACTCGATAATTGATATAATAAAAGAGAGTTGAAAGGGTTGTAATCTTGGAAGAGCAATTGATATGAAAAAAATCTTTGGAGGAAGAGAGTATTTATAGTAGAAAAAGGGGGGGGGGGGAATAAAATAAAATTCAGTGACGAGCCGAGCGGGCTCGGCTCGCCTCCCGGCGAGGCCCGCTCAACTCGTGCTCGTGATTTCACGAGCTCGAGCCGCCCACGAGCCTCTTTTCCAGGCCAGGCCCAATTGACATCCCTAATCGGTTATAAGAATGATGCTACATGTCTTTTTCGTCCAATGGTCTATGTAAGGTTGTTTTCTCTCATTTCTGGTTATTTTTCTTAAACCTCCGGTACCCAAATGTTAATGTGGTTCACGTTTTTCAATCATTCCACACCCAAATATACTCGTACAAAATTGATTGGCTTGATCGTCGAGTGCACATGGTTGCCTCCACCACTTTCGGGGAACGCTTCTACATCTAAATATATGTTCGAGTGAGCATGAACTTCTCTATGTGGACGTGAGTAGAGCCAAAATTCGTTAACCTCGTCATCCATATAAAAATCGAGGTCAATAATGTACACACATGATGACAAACCAGTAGTGGTGAGTGGCATAGCAAATTTGATTCAAGAGGGTAATAGGGACTTACCCGATGAGCGTGAAAATGAAACATGATTGAAACAGAAACACAAAGTTAAAAATCTAAAGGCAACCTAGTCAACACGGCCAACAACAAATATTTAATGAATTTATGTGTGACAACGACTTTTTTAAGTTTTTAACACGTAAATTCATAAATGAGCAAGTGGGTAGTTGAGCAACCGACTTTCTTGGGCATTTACTTTCACTCTGAATATTTTAAACAAGAAAAGTCTAAACGTTGTACATCAACAAATTGACTAATAATATTTTTCAGGTATTATTATTCGAAGGATTAATCTATTCCAAAATTTCAACGTTTAATTCTATTTCGAGAACTTCGCTACGTGTGCGCCATGCTCCACTCATGTGAGAGGGCGGCAATATTCCTCGTAACAAAATCGTGAAAAGAGACGAATAGAATAGTTGTTTTATATTAATTAGTCAACAACTTTCTGTCTAAGGAAGTTTATGGTCGTCCTACTACGTGTAAATTCAACGTTAATGATTGCATGATTTTTACGAATATTTCTTATAGTCTTCTGTTCCATTTATATAGGTCGATTTTTTTAATATTATTTTCTTATTCTAATTGTATAGTTCTTTTTTTTATTGAGAATATTTTGTTCTATTTGTTTACTAAGACACCCTTATTTAATTTGTCTAATTATAACTAATTTTTTCCACTTAATCTTGAAATTGTATAAAATATAAATAAGGATAAATTATAAAAGCTTTTGATAAAAATTGATTTTTCAACAATATTAAATAAGATTTCTTAATTCGTGTGAAAAATAAAATAAATCTATATAAATGAGACAAAGAGGGTATTAACATTTTAAAGAAATAATGCCATTGTAATTTTTTAATTTCTAACTCGCGCCACTAAACCGTAGAATATTTATTTTAAATAATAGTTACCTACTTAACTTTAAAATAAATGTTTTTTTTTTTAACTTCAAATATTTTTCAATGTACTTTTTTAAAATCACACCAATTTCCCTTATGTCAAATTTTATGAAAATTTTGGAGTCCCTCTATTTTTAAAATTAACTGCAAATTTTAAAAATTCAGGGGTGTATTTTTTATGTTTTAATTATTTATTTGAAATTCATTTATACTTTTTCGAAAATTTTGAAAGTATATATTCATCATTTTATAGCTTTAAATAAAAAAATAGATAAAAAAAATGATGATTTTTACAATAAAATGTGAAAATAAGGATGAAAACGTTAAAAAATGAAAGATATTGACGTCTTGCACATTAATATTGAAATGTGGAGATTTTGTGCTAATTACCCTTTTAATAATTTATTTGGATTCATTTGTACTTTTTTTAACTTTGAGAGTGTAATTGTAATTTATTCTTAAAATTTTTTATTTTTAATATTTTGTTTTATTTAAATGAAAGCTAGAAACGTCTTTGTGCTAATTATCCGAGTTAATTGTTCCAATGATCATTGAATTTAGATCAGGTCAATGTCTTTAATTAGTCACTGAAATTTAAAGTATCAAATTTTGGTAACTGAATTTAGGTTAATGTCTTCAATTATTTACTGAAATTTAAAATATCGAATTTTGATCACTAAACTTTAAAAAATGTTGTACATTACTCACTGAATTTTAAAAAATGCTGTACATTATTGTAAATTCGATATTTTTCAAAATTCAACAATTATGTTAGTGAATAACGTATGTCATATTTTAAAGTTCAGTGGTCAAAATTCGATATTTTAAATTTCAGTGAGTAATCGAAGACATGGACCTAAATTTAATGGTCAAAACTTGACATTTTAAATTTCAGTAATTAATTGAAGACATGAACCAAAGTGACCATTAAACAATTAACTCTAATTATCCAAATCTCTGGGTGGGAAGAGTAATTAGACCCCGTTTGTTTCCCATTTTTTTCATTAAAATGAAAAATATGATCGTTATTCATCAAATCAAACCATCAAATTTGAATTTATATTTCTTGTGCGGAGTTCATAACGACTATATTTTTCATTCTCATTTTTATATTAAGAGCCTATTTGTGAGTGATTTTTTTTCCAAAAAATTAATTTTTGACTGTTATTTCATATTTGACTTCTTTTCTCACAGATGAACCCCACTTTTCCTTTAATGGTCAAAAAAATAATTTTCAAAATCCCTCCCAAACAGGCTCTAACGTGTACTAAACCGGGTTTAGTTATCCCAATCCTCGAATACGACGTCCTTATGGACCCTATCCATATTCCTTGTGGTTGATCTTGTAAATTGCTATGAAGTGAACGAGGAATCAATCATACTCGCCGCCGACGCGGACATGTCAAACGTCGCTTCCAAAGTCGCCGTCATAGGCAGCGGGAGTAAGCGGTCATCCCTGCTCGAGTTTCTTCTCTTTGCTTAAAATATGAACGATCAGCATATTTATAATAAAATAATCAAACGGTTAAAATTTAAATGAATATTTATTAATTTATCACGTCTGAGCTAGTGGTATCTTAAAATTTCCAGTTTCAGGAACTGTGTGTGCATCGATTCTGGCAAAAAACGGAATTTCAGTCACCATATTTGAGTCCGCTAGAGGACCTGGGGGGCGGATGTCTCAGCGCAGGTATTTTCATAGTCACCATTGGTAATTACATTTTGAAGAATTTTCTTTCTGAAAGGATTTTTTAGAGAAATTGCCGAAGATGGGAGGGAGCTATTATTCGACCATGGCGCGCCATATTTCTCGTTGAATGCTAGCAGTTCTGAGGTGCAGAGCCTGGTCAATGATTGGGAATCAAGAGGACTTGTGGCTGAGTGGAAAGCAAAGTTCGGTTCATTTGATTGTGGCGCCAAAAAGTTCCTCAAAATTGAAGAGGTTAATCAATAATCTTCACTCTAAAAAATCAACTACCAGCGTTTATGTTTTTTTATATGTTTAATTTACTCAAATGGATAATGATATATAGCTATTCACTTTATTATTATTTGCCTAGAAGGCTCTTTGTTTTGAAGTTTCTCCACTGGTGCAATCCCTTTTCTTCTTTCTTGAAGCTATTAAATGCACCAAAATAGAACACAACAGCTTCAAATGCTGATGAGTATACGATATCCTAGTCATTCAACTGCTAGTTCTAATTATTTTACCTTTTGACTTGCTAAAAAGTAAAAACTAGAACATTGATGCATGATATAAATGATTATATCATTTCAAAAGTTATAGAACCTAATAAATTTATTGTATCTGTTTGCTTGATAGGCGTACTAGTTTGTTATATTTGAGCATCTGCCTATCGGTTATTATTGTTGTAATTGACCCCTGGCCGAATCATGTGTGGTCGTCACTCTATATATCAAAGAATTATAATATATCAAGCTGACTGACTCCTGAAGTTTAATTGAAATTTAGAAAGGAGTAATCAAGAAATATGTCGGTGTACCTGGGATGAATTCTATCTGCAGAGCATTGTGCCATGAGTCTGGTATGCAACCAGTGTTGATAGTTCAGTTTTTGAGTGGTATTTATCAATGCCAATCGTTCATTCTAAACATTTGACGGTTGCCTGATATACTTCTCTTTCAGGTGTGGAAAGCAGGTTTGGGTTGGGTATTGGGAGGTTGGAGTGGCTTGATAATGATGATTCATGGTCCTTGATGAGTTTAGATGGACAAGAACTTGGTAAATTTAAGGGAGTGGTTGCGTCAGACAAAAATGTATTTTCCTCCAGGTTTACTAATGTCACAGGACGACCACCACCTATTGGTATATAGTCTTTCTTCATTACCTCGTCTAGCGTCTTTGAGTCTGGTTGTGTTTTCATTTCCTCTTTTTGTCAGTTAGGGAACTATGTTGATACTCTCAATTTTATTGCTATTACTGACTGCAATTATTCCTACTTACGTTGTGTGACTTTCTCCATTCAGATCTGAATGTGGTTTCAGATGTGGCCTTTAAGTTGAAAGAAATTCCAGTTATTTCGTGCTTCGCTCTTATGTTGGCATTTGAACAGCCTTTGTCATCAGTAAGTGTGTATTTGTACACCATTTATTATGAGTGAGATCTTTTTACCAGACTTCCCAAATCAGTTAATAGTGTTTACCTTTGATGTTTCCTGATTGAAAAATCGTTTCATTTCAGATACCAGTAAAGGGCTTTTCGTTCAAGAACTCTGAAGTTCTAAGCTGGGCTTATTGTGACAGCAGCAAGCCAGGACGCTCTACCACTACGTATGTGTTCATTTAGCAATAGCAGCATTCTACTAGATTTTGAAAACTGGAGATTGCTTATCCATTTAAAACACGTTCATAGCATGCTTCTCCTTTCTTCATTCTTGTGTAGCGAATGCTGGGTGCTGTATTCTACACCAGAATATGCAGAGCGTATTATTGCCCAAACAGGACTTCAGAAGCCTTCTAGTGCAGTATTAACAAAAGTAGCAGAGGAACTGTTTCAGGAATTCCAAGGCACTGGGCTTGATATTTCACAGCCATTTTTCAAGAAAGCCCATAGATGGTTGGTATTGAATATTCTCTGGTTATTTATGGCTATTTTTGGTTTTTGCATGTTTGACTATCTGAAACAAGGAATGTTTTTCCTTCCAAAGGAAATATATGCTAAAAAAAGAAAAAAAGAGGGAAGGATAAACCCAACTCTTTTTCTAGTTTATAAACTTCTAGATTATCAAGAATGTGTTGCGTCCTGGATATTCAGATCAGTGTCATATCTAGATGAGCTTATGAATTATACCGCAAGGACCTATTTTCTGATGAATGTACGAATGACGAATGGAGGTACTAAGCGGTACCGACCTTAGCTACCAAATAATCAAAGTTGGAATTGACACTATGAGTTTGAACAAGCAAATTAATATGACTGGCACGTGTTTCTTTCTCATGTTTGGAGCTAAACTTTTTGGTATATTTCTTACGAATTTTTGTTTCATGGTGTTCTTTTCTTTTGCTTCTGTTGTCCTGTTAAGTTATTCAAAGCTGCATGCCTGTAACTGCAATCGTGCTTCTAATAAATCCTGTAAAATCCGATTTGACTTTTTCCTGGCAATACACGTCTAGGATACAATGATTTCATTTTTCCAGTTAACGTTGTATTCAACAATAGCTAAAAACGTGTATAGAGAACGTTAAAAATTATAGGTGTATGAGCCATGTACACCATATGGAGCTCACTATTATCTGAAAGTTTGTCTCGTGTTAGTGAAGAAACTGAATTCCATTTTTAGATTAGTGGCCTCTTTCAGCAAGTACTTATTGATGAACTCTGTTTCTGCTCCTCAGCACTAGAAATTACAAAGCAAAGAGGTGGTGACTACGTTTAGGTGCTGAACTTTTTTGTTTGATAACTCGTGCAAAGCTAAAACGTGAAATGATATTGGCATAAATGAGCTACTCGTGTCTCTTGAGAATTTGAGATGAACATGATTTGAGTCCTAAAAGTATTCTCATTCTGAGATCTCTCATAATATGTATTTTGAAAATGTCTTTCTCATGTAAATACATATAATATCCAGGGGGAGTGCTTTTCCAGCTTCCAGCATTATTACGAGGGAGGAGAAATGCGTTTGGGACTCGAAGAAGAGGCTAGCGATTTGTGGAAATTTTTGTGTTAGTCCCAATGTGGAGGGTGCAATATGTAGTGGCATTGCTGCATCTTCACAGTTCACTGAAATGCTTAGTTCCTTGTGATGCAAAACAAATACACATTATCAATATGCATTTTGTGGTCATTATCATCATCCTGATTGATCAGAAGATTGGTTTTGCTGCAATGAAGATTATTTCAAAGTCGCCTTATGCTGGAATGGGAAGAATGATAGTAAGTGTTCTTGGTTATTAATGTTATCTTGATGATATAGATGAGTATAAAAACGATAGGGATTTTATTCTCACCGTCCTCTTCTTATGGCCACAGAGCTATATTCATTTATGCAATAGCTATAGTATTTGGTCTCAGAAATAAAATTATAAGTTGTTGAATTATAATGCGATAAAAATAAGTGACGAATAAGTAGATGATTTTTGGGTGTCCCTACGAAATAATGAAAAGGTAACGTAATTGTTAGAATTAATCCTCTGTCAGGAGCGATTTTTAAGCAAAAATTTGACCATTATAAAGTATACACGATATCGTACAGCCACAATAATTTAGTGCTTTAAAAAAGTATATAACCAGAAATGCCCTTTGTATTATGCTGTATGCCATGGTGGGTGTAGGGCTTTTATGGAGGGCTATTGTAGTAAATATCACGTGCATGAATTGAAGGAAGGCAGTCTTATCGCGACTATTATGAAACTATGTCTTATATTTAATGATCAAAGTTTTGTTTAAAATTCTATAAAAATAGTGTTGGAGATGACTTATAAAAAGGATTATGTAAGGGTTGGTTTTTGATATATTTGTTTAACTAGTTTTAACCTGCAAGAGCGTGATCAAAACACAATTTATATGAATGAAAATTTGGACAGAGTTTCAGTATAAAGATTACGCAAAACAAGGATTAAGAATAAGTAGAAATAGAGAATAATCTAAGGCGAGACGTTATCTCTTTCCTTAAGACAAATTGTTTCGCTACGGTGCTCACGGTAAATGGTACTTGTCTCTCAAAATACAATGGATTAACAACTTGTGGTAGCAGCACTTCAAACCATAAGAAATCGACTAACTTTTGACAGAATTTCCCCTATACAAAGGAAATGTATGAAATGCTATGGAATTAGAAAGGAGAGAATTGCAAGAGAAGAATGAATGCTCAATATAATTTGTGTACCTAAAATCATGTTCAAAGTGTTCTATTTATAGATGTAGAAAGGGTGCAAATGAAGTAGTGTGGGTCAAAACGTGCATCCTTTAAAAAAAGTTGCAACACTTGGTCAAAACCTGCATCCTTTCGAAAAGTTGCAACATTTTATTTCTTTCAACTTTGGTCCGCAATTTCTCATTCATTCGAAATTGATTTCGAGATTTCAAATATACCACGACGATCTACTCGACGAGTAGAATAAGTTGGTCTATTTACTTTTATAATTTGACCATCGGATCAAGTCTAAATATTTGGTTAAAGTTGACACGTAGTCACACCTTTTCATTTTCCACTTTTACACACCTTTTCATTTTTCAATTTTTGGTTAATAATTTGAACAAATTCCTACAATCCCCCCACATGAATGGAAATTCGGGTACGCATATGCAAATGCGATGATATGATGCAATGTAGAAGGGTGCGAAAAAATACTGCATTAGGGATGGTGGCTTCTAGCCTTGAATCTCCCTTAGTAAAATACTATCGGACTTACTCGGCTAATTGGTGAACAATAGGCCTTGAACCGCTCAGCCTTTGGTGTCAGTCCAGACAACAGTACTCACACAAATATCTTCCCTATTCTGTATTTAGTTCTCATGACTTGATTCATTTTGGCCCGGAACCCTTCTTGGTTTCATAAGTGTTTAGAGATTTCAAATCTTAAACAATTCTTATTGAAGCGGCCCCACTTCACACTTACATAGGTGACCTCCTATTAAGAGTATTCTGCCCTACTCCACTTAACTAAATCAAGATGTAGGAATCATTAAAAAATAATCTCAGTATATATTCACTCTGCAGAAAGCACTTTAGTATCATAGGAATGATTTAGGAATTCTAATTTCCTAAGTGCTTTATGGAATTTTCACAACTTAGTTGTCCCTTTGAACCAAGATCTTGGGATCTCCAGTCAACAAGGTAGGGTTATCATTGCAAAAACTCTTACGTAGTAGGCTTTATCTCATTCCTCTCGATAGGCAACGCACTTGATTTCTAGACAAATTTTTCGTAAGTGGATCCGCAATAATCTCCTTTGATTTCACATAATCTATGGAGATAACGCCATTTGAGATCAGTTTCTTAATGGTGTTGTATCTACAACGAATATGTCAAGACTTACCATTATACATACTGCTTCGAGCCCTTCCAATTGTTGATTGACTATCACAATGTATACTTATCACAAGTACTAGCTTGGGCTAACATGGAACATCTTCTAAGAAATTTCGAAGTCATTCTGCTTCTTCTCTAGCTTTGTCCAAAGCAATAAACTCATATTCCATCGTTGATCGAGCTATGCACGTTTGCTTTGTTGATTTCCATGATACAGCAGCTCCACCAATAGTGAATACATAACCACTAGTGAACCTGGAATTTTTCATATCGAATATCCAATTCGTATCACAATATCCTTCTAGTACCGCAGGATATTATGTGAAACGTAATCCATAGGTTAAAGTATGCTTCAAGTACCTTAGAACTCTCGTTAAAGCTTTCCAATGATCACGGTTTGAATTACTTGTAAATCTACTAAGTTTATTCATCGCAAAAGCAATATCTGGTCGAGCGAAGTTTGTAATATACATAAGACTGTCAATTATTTGCGAATACCTTAGTTGTGATATGTTTTCTCCCATATTCTTGACTAAATGCATACTCGGATCAAGAGGAGTTCTCGCAGAACTTTCCTCAAACACGTCAAACTTTTAAAGTACTTTTTTTATGTAGTGAGATTGTGAAAGTACAATTTCATCCTGCGTTCTAGAGATTTTAATCTCTAAGATTACATCTGTCACGCCCATATCTTTCATATCGAAATACTTTGTTAGCATCTTTTTGGTGTTAAACAACATTTCGTGACTATTGCCCATTATTAACATATCGTCCACATATAGACATATAATTACACAGGCATACGGTGTATGTTTAATATATATACATTTGTCACGTTCGTTGATTTTGAATCCATTTGACAACATTGTTTTGTCAAACTTTTGGTGTCATTGTTTAGGAGCCTGTTTTAATCCATACAAGGACTTAACAAGTTTACACACGTTGTGTTTTTGGTTAGGAGAAACGAACCCCTTAGGTTGCTCTATATAAATCTCCTCTTCTAACTCACCGTTTAAGAATGCTATTTTTACATTCATTTGATGAATATCAAAATTGTGTATTGCCGCAATTGCAATTAACAACCTTATCGACGTGATTCTAGTCACGAGTGAGTAAGTATCAAAGAAATCAAGTCCTTTTTTTTTGCCTATATCCTTTAGCAATCAATCTAGCCTTATATTTATCAGTGGATCTGTCAGTTTTCAATTTTTTTTTGAATATCGATTTGCATTCTAAAGGCTTGTTACCGAGAGGTAAATCAACCAACTCCCATGTATGATTTTGCATTATAAAATTTATCTCACTGTTGATAGCTTCTTTTCAATGCAGTGCTTTCGGTGTAGACATTGCTTCATCGAAAGTCTTTGGATCATCCTCCACCATATAGGTTAGAAAATCTGGGCCAAACGTCTTGGAAGTTCTAGCCCTTTTACTACGCCTTGGTTCTTCCTCATTTGAAATTCCATTGGTAGCTTTATGTGTTCTCTTGTTAGAACTCGTATTTTTCTTATCTTTGTAAGGAAAAATATCTTTAAAGAATGTCGCATTCCTTGATTCAATTATGGTCCCTTCGTGTACATCTTGTATTTCGAATTTGTGTACAAGAAATCGATATGCACTACTATTATTGTCGTATCCAATAAATATGCAATCTATCGTTTTAGGACTGATTTTCACTTGTTTAGGCTTAGGCACCTCAACCTTAGCCAAACACTCCCACACTTTCAAGTATTGGTAGGATGGAGGATGTCCTTTCCATAGTTCATATAGTGTCTCTTCCATTTTCTTAATATGTATTTTATTAAGAAGACTATTTGCCATTAAAACAGCCTCCTCCACATGTTTTGTGTAAACCTGAACTTATTAACATGACATTCATCATTTCTTTAAGTGTTCAATTTTTGCGTTCTGCACACCATTTGATTGAGGAGAGTAAGATGTCGTTGTTTGATGAACAATTCCATGTTCAGAACAAAAGTTTTCAAACGGTGCCCTATATTCATCTCTTCTATCACTACGAATATTTTTTATTCGTTTTTCAAGTTGTGTTTCAACTTCAGCCTTACAGGTTTTGAATGCATCTAAGGCTTGGTCTTTACTTCTCAAAATAAAGCCATCAAAATTTTGTACAATTATCAATAAATGTCACAAAGTATTTCTTACCACCTCGAGTTTGTACAAATTTTAGATCGCATATATCGTTATGGATCAATTCAAGAGGGGTTGTGTTCCATTGTATTGAATGGAACAGTGTTTTAGCTAATTTTGCTTCAACGCATATTTCACATTTATGATTATGATTGATTTTACGCGCTGAAATTAAACTTTGCCTCATTAGTTTGCGCAACGTTTTGTAATTCACATGTCCTAATCGACTATGCCACAAGCATGAAGGCTCAAACAAGTAAATGGAATTTATAGTTTTATTCATAACGATTTGCTTCGGTATAATTGTAAGAACATTGAACTTGAACATTCCATCACACATGTATCCTCTTCTTACATACATCTCATTCTTAGACAACCCAAATTTATCGGATACAAATACAAGTTTAAAACCATTCTTGCTAAGTAGAGACTCGGACACTAAATTCTTTCTTATATTCGGCAATATAGGACATTGTTAAGGACGAGTTCTTTCCCGAATGTCATCTTCAAAGTGACTTTGTCTTGTCTTTCAACTTTGGAACTTGCAAAATTTCCCATGTATAGTTGTTCCCCATTTAATTCTTGATAGTTGGAGAACATCCCCTTGTCCACACACACATGACGAGTAACGCCGGTGTCAATCCACCATTCTCTAGCATTCCAATCATGTTGCATTCGGACACTATTGCAGATAAACTCATTTTTTGCAGTTCATCGGATAGAGTGTTATTTGCAACCATGTGGGCTTGAGCATTTTTCTTTGGCTTTCGACATTCACTTGAACGATATCCAGCCTTGCCACAGTTGTAACAATTCCCATTGAACTTCTTAGCATTCTTGAAATTGTCTCTTCGTGGTGCATAATTAGGAGCATTTCGTTTCTTGCCTTTGGTTCCATTTCAAAAAAATTTGCACCATTCTGATCAATCGACATTCGTTCGATTTTTCGATTGTCCTCTTCAATTCTCAAGCGCACAATCAATTCTTCCAAATTCATTTCCTTGCGTTTGTGTTTGAGGTAATTTTTGAAATCTCTCCACATAGGAGGAAGTTTCTTAATAATGGCAGCCACTTGGAACGATTCACTCAATTCCATTTTCTCGGCGTGGATGTCTGTAACAAGACTTGAATCTCTTGCACTTGGCTAATTATGGTTTTGGAATCCACCATCTTGTAGTCCAAAAATTTGCCAACAATTAACTTCTTTGTTCAGGCATCCTCGGTCTTGTACTTTGTCTCCAAAGAATTTCATAGTTCCTTGGCTGATCCTTTGAATTGTGCACCCCATATAGTGCACTGTCCAATGCGTTTAGGATATAGTTCTTCTGTAGGAAGTTTGAGTGTTTCCATGCATCTAAAGCAATAATCAATTCACGATTATTTTCCCCTTCTTGTACAGCCGGTGCAGTTTCCTTTAAAAATTTAGCCAAATTAAGAGTGGTGAGATAAAACAATATCTTTTGTTGCCACCTCTTGAAGTCTACTCCTGCAAATTTTTCCTACTTTTCCCCATGTGGGATAGTAGTATTATGCAACGGTATGACCACGGGTGGTATTACATTATTGGAACCATTTTAACTTGACAAGTCCCGATGGTAGTTATTTTTGTTACACAAACAGAAGTTCAACAAAATGATGATAATATCGGTGGACGAACAGTACACAAAGTACTATTCAAACAAAGTAATGTTTGTCCACAACCAACAACAAAGACACAAAATTTGTCTTAAGATTGTTGGAGAAGACTTATAAAAATGGCTATGTAAGAGTTGATTTTTGATATATTTGTTTGACTAGTTTTAACCCGCAAGAGCGTGATTAAAAACACAATTTATATGAATAAAAATTTGGACAGAGTTTCGGTATAAAGATTACGCAAAACAAGGATTAAGAAGGAGTAGAAATAGAGAATAATCCAATGCGAGACGTTATCTCTTTCTTTAAGACAAATTACCCCACTACAGTGCTCACGGTGAATGACACTTGTTTCCCAAGATACAATGGATTCACAACTTGTGGTAGCAGCACTTCAAACCATAAGAAACCGACGAACTTTTGACAGAATTTTCCCTCTACGAAGGAAATGTATGAAATGCTATGGAATTAGAAAGGAGAGAATTGTAAGAGAAGAATGAATGCTCAATGCAATTGGTGTACCTAAAATAATGTCCATAAGGTTCTATTTATAGATGTAGAAAGGGTGCAAATGAAATAGTGTGGGTGTACCCAAAACCATGTTCGTAGGATTCTATTTATAAATGTAGAAAGGGTGCAAATGAAATAGTGTGGACCAAAACATGCATCATTTCAAAAAAGTTGCAACACTTGACCAAAATCTGCATCCTTTCGAAAAGTTGCAACACTTCATTTCTTCTAACTTTGGTCCGCAATTTCTCATTCATCCGAAACTGGTTTCAAGATTCCAAATATACCACGACGATCTACTCAACGAGTAGAATACGTTGGTCTATTTACTTTTGTAATTTGACCATCGGATCAAGTCCGAATATTTGGTCGCAGTTGACAAATAGTCACATCTTTTGTCCAAATATTTGGTCGAAATTGACACATAGTTACACCTTTTCATTTTTTACTTTTACACACCTTTTCATTTTTCAATTTTTGGTTAATAATTTGAACCAATTCCTACAAATAACTTCTAGAAGGGGCTAGTAATGAAATAATGACAATTTAAGCTAGGTCGATATAAATATTATTAGAGTATTTTTTTAGAAAAAGAAATGCTATGTGACTTTTCTTTAAAAAAATAAAATAAAAAAAAAGGTGGTTACACGGCATGCAACATTAATGAGATTAACAATTTTCTACCATATTTTTTTACTTCGTAAATAAATGTTATTCATATTAATTTTCTAAAGAGTAATGCTATTTAGTCTTACTGGAATTGCAACCTCAATCTAGGTGACGCTAAATAAAATATGAAATTAAAATTTCATTCATCAATGAATTTTGTTACTTATACATCAATGAATTTTGTTACTTATACATGGTGATTCATTTTGTACAAGTGCCAAATGCAATGTTGGAAACACTACATTGATTGCCAACGCTGCATTATTTTGAGCACTACCACTATGAAGCTTTTAGTACATACAAGAGTTCTTAAATGATAAGTGTGAAATTAGTTCGAGTCTCCTTAGGACTACCGAAGTGAGTACCCGACTGTAAACTTCAGGGTCCCGTGAAATTAGTCGAGGTGCGTATGAGCTGACTCGGACACCCATGATATATATATTTTTCCAAAGTGCATTAAAGTATTTATTTGACTCTCCAATATCCCAGCAAGAGTCATGCCAGGCTGTCGTACATTGTAACTGGCCCATGGCGATCAAAACATTAGTCTGAGTTATCGAACAACCAAAATATAGCGCAACTCACATCACACCCCCTAATTGAAGTCGATTAGGTTTCAGTGGTCAGAAATAATCAGCCAACTATTTTCGGGGAATTATTAATCTATTTATAGACCATTTTCTTGAAACTATAATAACATAATTCAAAATGTTTTGTTTTTTTATTGGTGAAGAGGTACTACTTTCTCTTACAACCACTAGTCATTCTACACGTGTCCTACAAGAAGATATGATAAACAAGCGTTCAACACAAACTGTTAAACCTTAAAAGAGAGGCTGCAATTTGATAATGTTGTAATATCATATCCATAACTCATCCACTAGACCAACGCCAAGTGTCAACTTGCAAAACAAATTTTACTATATCACAGTATTATCATGAACATTGCCTTCCTGTGAAATAAACCACACACTGAAATTGGAAGGCAAAGAGAAGTAGCAGATGGCAACCACTGTCATGAGTTCCCTGAACCTCAAACCCTCACCTTTTTCCGTCGAGAGAACTGCCGTGCGTGGCCTCCCGTCCCTTGCCAGAACCTCCTCTTTGAGAATCGAGGCCAGCGGTGGCAAGAAAATCAAGACTGACAAGCCTTATGGTTAGTGTTTTTCTTATTCGTATCTTAAGAAATAGAGACGTAACTTGACAAGACAAACACGGAAAGTCTTACAAGTCGACTACATGAATCATGCTCATCTACCATTTATTAATATTGTCCTCATCGTATAGGAATTAATGGAGGCATGGACTTGAGGGATGGTCTGGATGCCTCAGGCAGGAAGGGTAAGGTATGTCTATGTATATTCATAATTTAAAGTCGAATTTTCATATCAATAAACTTGTAAATACACTGTATGGTTCAATGTTTTTTATCTTATTTAGGGAAAGGGTGTTTACCAATATGTTGACAAGTATGGTGCTAATGTGGATGGATACAGGTGAGTAGTTATTATCATTCAAATAAAAATTATTATGTAGAAGTAATTCAGTTGAATAATTTCAAGTGAATAATATAATTGACGCAATTCAAATGCAGTCCCATATTCAACACAGATGAATGGTCCCCAAGTGGTGATGTTTATGTTGGGGGTAAGTATGCTTATTCAGCTTCTCTAACTATAACATAATAACTAAATAATAAAAATTCAGGAAAAAATAATTGAAATATCGTACAAGATTACGATAATCATTATCGAGTAGTTAACAATATGACAATTGTATATGCAGGCACTACAGGTTTAGCCATCTGGGCAGTGACCCTAGTTGGTATTCTTGCTGGAGGTGCTCTTCTTGTTTACAGCACAAGTGCTCTGTCTCAGTAAACTATTGTCATGTAATCAATATATTTCTTGAATTCTCAAACAATATATGTACGTAATTATCTGTGTTATTTTGTCATGGATGTGTTTTATATTGCCTATATTAAATTGTGATGTACCGTACAGTCCAGAAACATTAAAACCATTGGTCTCGACCCATTCCCAAGCCTTCACCTTCACAGCGGAGTTCTTACTGCTCCTTCATTCAAGCAACAATCTATGATTTTGCTATCTATTCTCCATCCTTAGCTAGGCAGGGCCAAAGCCTCTCACAGCTTCCTCACAATATCACAAATTACAATCTAAAAAGGCCAGTCAATTATTTAGATGAAAAGAGCAAATACTTGTGTCAAATTCAGAGCGGTCTGATTATACTCTATACATGCAATAATAAATGAGATGAGTTTAACTTGTCTTAACAATATAAAGATTGTTCAAGAAATCACATACACAATAAGCAGCAGTCTTGAATGCGCCCTCCTAATGAGGTTAACGTATTCATATCAACGGTAACGAGCTTTGGGGATTCTTAAAAGATTTTGAATTGGAGGATGATCAATATGCAAGTTTCCCAAGCATCAAGTTTAATTACATAAAAAATCTAGCATATCAAGATAAAATTTAAAGATACTAAATTAATTACCTCGGTGAAAATGTGAAATCTACACCACTTGCAACGTACAGGAATGTGGACATTTTTTTCACAGTTTCTTCGCTATTAAAGCCACATTTCTTGGAGATAATACTGGATCAAAAATGGGTAATATAACTGCCTCCACCATATTGCTGGACTCCTGAAGAAACAGCAATCTATCAAGAAGAAGAAGAGTTTCCAAAACGGGTCCTAGAGCAGCCCGAAGTGTCCAATAAGGCCCAATCAGTTCCTGCAGCAAATTATATATCAGTCCTAGCAATGATATTGCAAATATTTTATAAAAAAGGAATCATTGACGTTAACTATTTTGAATACAAAATTTAGGCAATTTGAACAATTACCAGACATCAATACGTTGTGACCCAAATAGTCCAAGTCAAGCCAAGCCCCAAGATACCCGAGTATCTCATGCACCGCACATGTGCTCACACATATAGATACATATTTAAACATATCTAAAACACACAACCAAGAGCCAATTGGTTGTTACTAGTTGGACATTACGTGAGGCGTTCTGCAACCCTCAATGGTTATGATCTGACCCTATTATTTTGTAATTAGAAAATTATCCCAAATTGGTGTGATTAAAATTATACCAGACATCAAAAAGTAATAGTATCAAACGCTTTGCAAATTCATTGTATTTTAAAACTACACGCGGAACTTAAGTTCTTGTCCATCTGAGAGACAAACATTCACTGGGAAATATGGAATTTGGCCCCTAGCATGCATGGACATAACTGTTACTTATCCAGTGATGCCAATACTTCAATTCCTGACTCACAGATGAGCAACCAATTGATCAGCCATCAACCAACAAATGGCTGAGATATAAAATCGCTTGACAACACTATTAACCAGTTCTGACTATTTTGAGAAAGAAAATGTGGCAAAGCAAAATAATATACGGAAAAGAAGATCCACAGGAAAAATGAAGTTAAGACAGATAGTTAAACCGTAAAATACGAGAAAGAAATATAAAATTTGATGAGGAACTTACAGCAAATGGTTCAGCTTGCTTCCATAACCCAGAAAAATTGATATCCTGTGAATTATGGAGACCAAGCCGATGTAGTCCAGAACGGCAGAAGTTCACGAACATTGAATATCTGTCAGTAAGATTGGTGTCACAATTTCTAGAAATACAATGAGAAGAATCCTCATAAATTGAGGCAGCATCATTACAGGTTGAACCTGCAAAAATAAAACCCAGACAAATTTACAGGTGGAATTAGAATTATCTTGCTATCATATCAACCAATTATTTTAAGTATTATTTTTATTATCATTTGAGGTGGTCTTTATGTTATCCTCCAAGACAAGTGTAATTCTTGCAGAACAATTTTAGAAGAGGTGGGTATATATTTGTCTTCCTTTTCTCTCTTTTGCTTCTTTGGGTCGTTTCAGACGGTATTTTGAACAGATCTATAATTAGTAATATTATTTACAATGCATGGAAATACCTTCTTCTGCGTCTGCACTTTCTGTACAAGAAATGGCAGGCCAACTTGTTTCGTTCTCACAATTCTTCTGAGACAAGGATTCAGCAATATCTGCACCAGACACTAGGGTCCTACGGTGATGTCGGCGACGTAAAGCCTTTCCTTGACGCCCTATTGAAGGGCTTTTTATTATTATTTCTGGATAATGTTGAAAAAGAACCTACAGACAGATTTAACATATTGATTAGGTGGAACCCTTTTTTTTGAGAGAGGGAGAGAGAGAGACTATAAGAAGGGAAGAGAAATTATGAACTAGCAGAATTTATATAAAGAATTAATTGAAGCAAACCAAGGTTAACCTACCAAAAACTGCTCTCAACAACATGCAAATATATTAATGCTGAGAGAAAAAGATTATGTTATGTTGTGGCATTTACCATCTGAAAGGCAGCACGAAAAGCATGAAGCTCAAAATTATGAAGGCAAGCAGCTTCTCCCAAACCTCTCCATCTCTCTGCACTCTAATTAATTAAAAAGGTTACTGGCATAGTTTGTGAAAGGTCAATACAAAGAACTTATAACAATGAAGTAAAATAAGCTAACAAAAGACAAAATAAAAGAGAAATAAATGCCAATACCCAAGATATTAAGCCAAACCCAGCATAGTACTGAACAGTTCCAACATCAACCATAAGCATAATATCAGAGTTTAGCATTGGGTAACAAGACATCAGGCAAACGGTAATGGATACAAATAATGCTAAATGCACCTAACAAAATACAACTTGTTCTGAATTCCCGGTCTTGTAATAAAATGGTAAAACACAGTTTAACTAATGCACGTTGCACGCTAGAGAACTTGAAACTTCATCTTCCCCCAAAAGTTGAGCATATATGAGCTGGATAAAATTCAATCAAGAAGAATGCAAATGAACCTGACAAGCAAGATCTCGGGCATTTTTCTTAAGCAATAGACCAGCAGATTTAACTCCTTTACTCATTGGGAAACCGCATTGAGTATCAGCTTCTACGATGCCCTCTGATAGCAAATTGTAACAACAACCGATGCTAACCACTGCTCTAACATCAGTGCATTCTATAAATGTCCTACATATAACAAATTACTAGTTTGTCACTTTAATATATAATTTAGCACATACTTCCAAATTCCAAAGAAAGTTAAATGCAAATGATGTCATTACGATCCTTTTCATGGCATAAGTACGAATATATCATTACCAGCAATTTCATGGCTTGATTTACAGGTTTAGAGAAGTTTTAATGCATAAAAGGGGTTCATTAATAAATGATAGATAATTAAAAGGAGCTTTAAATCTTGATACTTCTTCAGTAATACGTATTAGGAAATTGGACAGCCATTCTGCTAACACAGATAATGAAGATTCTGGTAATGCAACAAAACATCAATATAACATGGTTCTCACCTCAGCATTGTCACCGAAAGATCTCCACAGGCATGGAGTCCAGCGAGAACTAACAAGGGCTTGCCATTTGCATACAAGGAAGAGGTAAGTTCATTTCCAACGGATCCTTCAAGAGGCTTTTCATCAATATTCACTCCATTATTATTAGGCTTCTCATCATCTTTTTGTAATAAGGAACTGCCCAAGGCTTTCAACGTGTCAGAGGACAACACTCGGCATGTGACTGTCTTAGGCGTGCTCAAACCTCTACTTTCTAATCTGATGAAAGAATTTGTGTAAGCTATGAGTGGAAACTGCAAAAGGGATTCCCTCATCCAGGATACGAAAATTTTGAGAAAGCAACAACATGATACATGAAATCATTTCAAGCCAGAGACCAGCACCAAATGCAACTACCCTTGAAAAATTACATTCACGAACTATAAAAAGCAGCTTTATATTAGCTCATCAAATTATAGAGCCAGCACAATAATCATGAGAGGATAAAAATTGTCAGCAGTGTCCAATAAGAATCACAAAAACGTTATAATACACATTTTCAAGTCATAAAATATTATTTACAAGGTCATAAAATTAAAAGGCGACATTTTGCAAATTAATTTTAAGTAATACTATATGTGAAAAGAGAAGCGAAAATAGCTTAATAACTAGAAAACTCATTACCAGTAAGACATGTGGATAGCCTATAAAGATGGTTAAAGGTAAATAGCAATTCAACTAGTGGAGATACCAATCGAGAGACCAAAGTAAGATCTCTGAGGTGCTCCCACTTCTAAAGAATGTATATATTAAGTAATAATTATTTAAGTAGACTTAAAGGTTGAGAGAGAGGAACCAATTATGAAACTAAAATATTTTAGTTTCTTGTGATGCTTGGAAGCAAACATCATATTTTGACAAGTGGAAAGACCAAGTGAGAGGTTCCTGTTTATGAAAAAGTACAGAAGAGCCTGGATGTGTTTTGTATGCATAAGTGAGAATGCATCAATAATTCAAGACCAACAATAATTACTTTAGAGAACTCGTAACCGTACTGAGATCTACGAAGCTTGGCCATATAATGTTTCTTAATTCGTTCAGCACGTGCATCAGTAATCCTTCCATGATGAGAAGAGGCATCTATTGCTATCACAGAAAGCTGGTATTCAAATGAAAGAACTTGAGCGAGGTACCCCTGTAGAAAAGCAAATGTGATAGAGCCACCAAGGTGGTAAGTACCTGAGCAAGGTGGTCCCGTTGACGACCAATGAAAAGAGAGCTAAAAAAGTGGTATGGAGAATAAAATGTGGCTTCTTTCCTCAATAAACATGAGTTCCCCGCAGCTTTGTGTTTCCCAGTCCAAGAGAACACAAACACACATCTCTTACTATTTTAAGTAAATGGATCCAGAAAGTATTACATTGTCTAAGAAACAACATGCACACTTTAAGGCGAACTAAAGCACTTTGTTACTACATAGTGCAGTAAATGCTCTTAATTGGGTCAGGACTCTGTCTGGCAATTCAGGTGATTCAGTTCAATTGATTTAACTTCCAAAGACGGCTGTGGGACCTCCATTTTCTAAGTACATTAGCTTGCTATTCAAGTGCACTTATAATCCTTATAATTTTTGCTAAGCCTCCGTTTGGGAAGAATTCATAAGCATTTCGATTTATAAATAGAGAAAAATGAGTGGTAGATAGTATTTATGGGTCCATTGGAATGTGTTGGTGAAAATGAAATTCATAACATTCGTAAATGATTTATAAATTTTGCCAAACGAAAGATAAATCAGATAATCACTAAACGAAATGATTGTGAGTATATTTACTAATTCCTATGAGAAAAAACACTGGAACGATTGCAGCACATGAAGGATCATCACCAGCAAAAAAATCACGAGGTATCGCACCTGACCAGATCCAACATCCACTATCGTGTTGGCTCCAACTCTACTAGCAATAGAGCTGATAACAGCAGAAAGGGCTTCAATCTGTTTGCAGGAACATTACATATCCTGTGAGTAGGCTCCAAATGCCACATTGAAGCCCGTAATCACATTTGCAGAAGTAAAGTAAGCACGTAGTTCATACAGATAAAAATTAATTCAGTTCTAAAGATTCCACATGGATTGAAAAATGACTTAAACATGATAAAGGAAAAAGAAAAGATTCCACATCCTATCACCGATTTGCATGAGTGCCTAGAAACTTTTGTTAGATTTAACTAACATATAAACAAAAACTAATTATAAGCTCATCTCACATCATCATCCAGAGAAATGAAGAAAATAAAGGCTATATGATATTCATTTCAATTAACATGTACTAAAGAAAGTTAATGAAAAATATCCATCTCACAAATAAGATTCAGATATGAAACTCAGGAGAAGGAGAAGATAGGGAAAAAAATAGAGAAGGGGGGCGGAAAAAGATGAAAGGCAGTAAAGACCATGACCTACTTCGTGCTTTTTCTTATGATTCATGCCTTGAGAAAGAACATTATTCAGCGATGCCACTTGAAGACCCGGGAAAACCTGCAATGAGCAAAAGTATTAATTTAAGCTGTGGAGAAGGGACCTGATGCTCTCTATAAACTAGCTACAGAAGCTGTATTAGAGATATAGGGAAAGACTCCAAAAAATATAGTAATCCAGTTAAATCTCTTGATTCCTTCCCCGGAAACTCACTTAAATAATAAGAGATTTAGAACTTGTAGATGCCCTGTTCAACTAATGCAAGTATATGAGGCTAAAGGAAGAAAGCCAACAAGGAATATATAAGGATTATGACTTATGAGTATTTGGGCACCTACCTGTTCAACAGAAATCAATAGATAGCAGTTGCCAACAATTTAACCAGGAACGATTTATTAAAATATACTACAGAGAATACCAATAATAGAACTGACAAATGTTTACCTTCTGCAGATCTGCTTGCTCACGAGGAAGAGAAAGGGACCTCAACGTGAGGACAAATTCTTTAAGTGAAGCAGGCCAATGATCCTGGCATCATGAACAATAAAAAAGTTTTAACAGACTATGATTGAAGGAAGACAACCGCATAGGCAAGCCTAAAATCATTAGTGCATTTGCATAGATTGTGTTTCTTCTGCTATTTCCTTTTGTTTTCCTTAATAATAAAAAAATATGAGTCCTGGTGTTCTCATTTTCTTAGGGATTCCTTTGCGTGGCACCTTTATTTAAGTAATAAAACATTATCCTGTGTTTGATTCTAAATATAGTTGAGAGAAAATGAAAACGCGGACAAACTGGAAGTATAAATTTGATAGCGCTTTGTTGCCTTCTGCTTCTCTTGATTTTTAGTTACACCTTCATAAGATTACAGTTATAATTACTGCAGCACAGACCACTACGTTAGAATCTCACACTAGAATCCACGTGTTGCTGATATTAAGTTAACTCACTAAAACAAAAATAGGTAAATTGGTCTGCCCAATGCATTGCCGATTTGCTATTTGGACATATTTAAACTTCAGTATAGCAACATGATACTTCTTTTAGTAATGGACATGCTGATCACTTTTTTTTCAAAAAATCAACCTTTTGGGACTTACTAAAATTAGCACTTTATGTGAAAACAATATTCTAATTTATGATTATCCTGTGCGATCAATTACTTTCTTGTCAATTAGTTAGAAACTATTCCTTAACCCAAGTTCTCAAAGAAAGCCTCCAATTTATTGCAGCGCAAAAGACTATACTTCAGTTAACACGCAGCCGGCAGCCCCAAATGACAGAATAAGAACGTCAAAATTAACAATCAGTAAAATGAAAGTACCTGGATTACACCAGAAGGAATCCGTAGAAGATCATCTACAGGCTCTTTTCGCAGACAATCCATCCACTCTCTATCAACAGCTACCCATAGCCTCTCCTGTCAGAATCAACAATTTTTCAAGCATTATTATACATACAGGCACTATAAGTCTTAATAATGTAATATAAAATTGAGAGAGTTGAATAATTGAATAAGCCGGATTACCTTGAAGAAATTGACGACGTGAGCATCTAAGAAGAATCGATAAGGCTTGAGGAAGTTTACGATTGCACGAATCCATTCAAGTGTTTCACTCGCTGTCTTGCAAGAGTATTTAAACTCGCCGCCGCTATCCATACTGTGACGCCTTTCCCGCCGCTACCGGAGGCCTCTTCCCGGCGATTTGGAGTGGGCGTTCCAGCCGTTCCTAGTATCGTCTACTAGGTGAACCCGGCGGCTCGCCTCTCGACCCGTTTTCTTACTGACGCGAGTTAATTGTTCCAACGTCACTGAAATTAAATCCATATCTTTAATTGGTCACTAAAGTTTAAAATATTCAATTTTTGTCAATAAACTTTGGTCAATATTTTCGATTGCTCACTAAACTTAGGTTCATGTCTTAGATTACTTACTGAAATTTAAAATATCGAGTTTTGATATACCATATGTTACTCACTAGCATAACTGCTAAATTTTAAAAAAATATCGAGTTTACAGTGAGTAATGTACAGTATTTTTCAAAATTCAGTGATCAAAATTCAACATTTTAAACTTCAATAAGTAATTAAAGACATGAACCTAAATTCAATGACCATTGGAACAATGAACTCTATTCATGCCTCCAATTTAAAATTGGATAAAGCGGGTGGAACAAAAAGAGTCATGGTTACTATCTAGGAGTTTTGGCTCTCGGTAAATTTATAACTTCTTTCTCTTTTCATTCTTCGAATTTTTCTATTTGTATTTAAAATAATGCTTATATTTAGTTTAACTAAAAATATTAATAAGAATTTATATCAAAATTCACAGTTAAAATAAATCATCATATATCACATAGAACTCACAACTTTTAACAACTTTTCAATCATATATATTAAATTTGATCAAAATCTACTAAATATTTGATTTTTAACAAACTCAAACTGGGACAATATGTCACATTTATAAGTTATGTCACATTTTAAGGAAAAATTGTAGTTATGGTACAAAACATTTTACTTTTATGCAGATTTGACCAAAACCTTTAATTGTGTCACCCACAGTAACAAACCTTTAAAAAACTCGCATTCACAATTCAAATTAACAAGAATAGTTAGTTGACCAGAGAATTGATATTGATCATAATTTTGACTAATTTTAAAATGATAAAATGATAACTATACATTTTTCAACCAAAAAAAGGCAATTATAATACATTAATAATTAAATAAAAAACAAAAATCAAACACACCATTCACTTTTCCCCAAAACTACCAAAGGTTATTGCTGGCGACACCGCCACCTTACGTCGACCACCGATCCTTTGACCACAACTCCATTTGGATCATTTAAGCCACCGCTCCTTCAATCAAAATCATTAACCCACAATATATATCTCACTCTCAATTTGTATAGGTAAATGAATTGAGTATAAAAGAAACACTAGACATTGGGCTATGAATTTGGTGTTTGTAAATTCATTTTAACTCAATCTAGACTTGCTTAATGTGATAAAGTTGTTGGGTCTGGATCCGACGAATCCTTCTCCTCTTCTTCTTCAATAGGTAGTGGTGTTAGTGGGTTATTGCTGTGATGATGGTGGTGGTGGTGTTAGTAGGCTTTTGCTTTTGCTGTAGCTATGGCGACGTGTTTTGATCTCTTCCGTTGTGGATGGGTACTGATGTGTAGGATCTAGTAGAGATGGTAGTGGGATTGTTTCAATGTGGCGGTGGGATATGATTAAGATTTGGTAGAGGTGTAGACAAGCAAAAATTGTAGGTAGAACCCAAAACCTATCCAACTTCCTGGCCACCACCATCCATCCAGCCGACTGGAAAATAGTCAGCCTTGTCAGTGGGCCCAAAATGTTTTTTTCCCAAAATCATAATTTTGTAACAAATTATGTTTTCCTTATGCAGATATGGGATCCGCTACAGTTCCAGTTTGCTACTTTGGTAAATTTGAAATGAATGAAAATAAATGTTGGGTATGGAAGGGGATGAGCTAAAACGTGGTGCTACTATAATTGTGATAAGATCGAGTATATAATATGCAGAAATGTACCATGAATTACAGAATATGCTTGGCATCGATCCCTCAAGTACGACATCGAATTGGGGTTTCTATTTAGCGAGCATGCGTTTATTTCAATTCCGCCTATAACGGTTAGTTCTGAAGTTGAAATGAAGTTTTTAATTAAATTGAACCTGAATCGTACGATTTCTATTCGTGTAACTTTAGTAGATAAAAATAACCCCGAGAGTGAACATGTAGATTCCGATGGAAGAGATCGTAATGTGAATGATTTTTGGAACATAGTGGAGATAGTTCGTGAGGATGATATGAATATTCCTAAGACAGTTGTTCCTTACTATGACCTCACTATTACGCACAATTTCCTCGAGCGATAGAGACAATGAAAATGAAAAATGAATTTACAAATAAGGATTTGATTGCATTATCCCGTTAGAGACATGAGTTGGGGGAGCTCACAAGTTGGAACGAGTACACGGTCCTCTAATTATTTGCGTGTAGTTCCCGATAATGAAGAATTGTATATCGAGCAACTATTTGAAATAAAGAAAGATTTGCAAAAAGTTGTTAGTTGGATTGTTTTGACACAACTTCGAGTTTAAAGTTAAAAAATCAAACAAGTCGACATACACAATTATCTGCGTTGACAACAGTTTCCATCAGTGCTTGCGAGCAATGAAGATGAACATGAAAGAGTTCTTTGTAATTTGTAAGTATGCACAGGGAATATACCTGCGAAGTTGTTATTTGTCGAAATGATCACAGGTAGGCCAAATCATGGTTCATTGGTCGACAAATAACGCATAAATTTCAGGACTCACGAACGACCTATAGATTTTCTGACATTATTAACGACATTCGTCGAGAGTATGGGGTGGTCATGATCTATTAGAAAGCCTGAAAGGTCAAGGAATGCGCATTGGAGGACTTAATGGTTTCAGTCGAGAATAGTTATACTCAATTGGGTAAGTATTGCTATAACATGAGGAAAACTAATCCTGGATTGACATTTTTTATTGAAACTGATGGTGAGAATCGCTTCAAGTATTTTTTCATAACCCTTGGACAATACATTCGAAAATTTTGAAACTTGATGCGACCCCTAATTCTAGTTGTTGATATAACCTTTAAGACTTGATATGATATCAAGTTGATTATTGCAATATGTCGAGATGTCAATATCCAAAATTACCCTCTTGCATTCGACATAGTCGACGGAGAGAATGATCTAGCTATGCGTTGATTTTTCATGAAGTTGAGGAAAGTGATTGGGGACGTCGAGAATTTTGTATTCGTAACTGATTGGGGAAAGTCAATAATAAATGGCATCGCTAAAGTCTTTCTCGAAGCACATTACAGTTATTGTATGTATAGGGCAACCTGAAGACTAAGTATCGGAGAAGTGACGTCATTGTATTGTTTAGGAAAGCTACAAAGGCTTACAGTTTTAAAGAGTTTGATAAGTTCACGGTCAAAATAGAAAGTAAATCATATGCTGTATGATAACACGTTTTTCAGGAAGTCGATACAACATCTAACAGAGATGGAATCGAACATTGGGCACGATCACATTTTTTGGGATGTCAAACAATGCGGAATCTCTCAATGCATTATTCAAGAGGGATCGAGAGTTACCAATTCTCGCAATGATTTAGCACATTTGTAACAAGTTACAAAAGTGATTTCATGATCAAAGTGAGGAATCATAGAGTTGTACAAGTGTGTTAACCACGACTCAGGAAGATAAACTCTTTAAGACTCTGGAGATGACGAGAAAAGTACATGTGGAACCACTAGTCCAGTTTCGCTTTTTCGTGAGATGTAGATGTAATATTGGATATATCGTGGACTGAAATGATAACACGTGCACGTGTAGACAGTTTTATTTGGAAAGTTTTCTATCTACGCATACAGTGGCAATGACTATGCATAGAGAATTTTTTGCACACGCCTTATACAGTTATTATTACAGGCTGATTATTGAAGAGGATCGTATGTCGAAATAATATTTTTCTATACCAAATGAAGCCGAGTAGGAAGTTTTTGACCACATTCTTCCACTTAATAATGTGTTGCCACCTAAAGTTAGACCACGTACTCTTGGACATAGACGTACATTTAGAATATCATCTATTGGAGAATTTTCCCAACCTCGTAAGTACGGCAGGTACGGTGTGACGGGGCATACTTGCAATTTTGCACAAATCAGATTCCATTACATAACAATTCAACGGATGTGTAATAAAATTTAAAATTTATTTGCTATTTTCACATTCTATCTGTTATGTAATATTTATTATTTTGTAAAAGTTATTGCATTGGACGTTCTATTTTAAATTTATATTGTAGTTTTAATTTTAGTATTATGAATTATGTTGACCTATGGTTAACTTCATTCTCAATATTTTGATCATAACAAATAAGATTGATATTGTTTCTAACAATTTATTTTGAGTGATGATAGTTCGATGTTAAAATCTATCAAGCAACATATATTGGACTTGAAATGAAGATCAAATTGGAAGTTATTCATGCATTCAAGTCAAATCATTTGAGACGAGAGTTTAAAAGATAAACGTCAAGAAAAGTCAAGCATTGAAGATCAATGACAAGAAAGATAAAGATCAAAAGTTCAAGAGCCAAACATGGAAGAAACTTCGGAGGAAGATCTAAGACTTGATTTCTTATGCAAAATGTAAAGGTACTAACACTTTGATATTTGGCAAAGAATAGTTAAGCTCAAAATCCTTCTATGCATCAAAAATAATTTTTGTGCACTAAAAGTCATTCCAATGCAACGTTTTGATCAAATATAAAAATGACTTTTAAAAGTGATATTTGGACTTTAAAAAACATTTTTATCATGAAAAAATAGTTAAAAATATTTTTCAAAGGTCCATGCACTTTAAAACTTTCATATCGGAACAAACGGAGTCAAAATGTAAAAACACCGCGCTGCCGGGGCGGTCAACCGCCCAGAGAGGCTGTCACCGCCCAGAGAGGCGGTCAATCGGACCGGTCGACCGGACATAGGAGGAGGTCGGCCGAACACCCTCCAACGGTCCACAATTTGACCGTTCTGACTTCTGATTTTTGTTGTACAAATGACTATATTGATCTTCCAGACGAGAGGCGGTTGACTGGACTAGTCTTCCGCAAATACGGATTTTTTTCTCATTTTTGAACTCTATAAATATCCACACTCTTTCCATTCTTCACAAGATTTCCAAGTGAATCAAAGTGACATATTTTTGTTTTAAGAATTCTTTGAGCCTTCATTTGCATTCATTTCATTTGTTTCATCATAGAAAAAACTTTGATTGATTTAAACTCATTAATCATCATTTTCATCAAAGTTTTCCATATTTCTTCGTGTTTACCTTATTTATATCATTCTTAAAAGAGTGGTATATTCTTGAAGAAGGTATTTGCACTTACATTGCATAAATCTTTCTACTTTTTCATATTGAAAAACTTTGATTGTTGAATCAAATTTCTTGAATAATTTTCTTCATCAAAGTTTTTCATATCTCTTTGTGCTCAACTTATTTATATCAGTTTTCAAAGAGAGATATATTCTCGAAGAAGTTCTTTGCACTTATATTGTATAAAATTTTCAACTTCTTCATATTGAAAACTTTGATTGATTGAATCAAATTTGTAAAATTATCATATTCATCAAAATTTCTCATTTCTCTCTTAGTACTTGATTTATTATAATCATTCATTAAAAGAGAGATATTTCTTGAGAAGATTATTTGATTTACATTGCATTTAATTTTTCTTCATCTTCTCATCGAAATACTTTGATTGGTTGAACTTAATTTTCAATTGTCATTTTTATCAAAGTTTTTCATCTAACACTTGAGCTATCATTTGTTACTATTCATTGAAGTGTTAGTCTCTCTTAGTACTTAATTTGTTTGTATTATTTATTAAGAGAGAATTTGATTGTAAAATCACTTTGATAAAGTGTGGTCGTGTTGAAGTCTCAAAGAGCTCAACATTGTGTAAGGATTGGTGCTCCTTGTTGTAGGTCACCATGTGGGTCATATTGAAGTCCCGTAAAGCTCAATAGTGTAGATCATGTTGAGGTCCCGGAAAACTCAACATTGTAAAGAATCGGTGCTCCTTGTTTGTAAGTCACCAAAAGCTTTGTAGAAGGTTGGATTGCACCATAAGTAAATCAATATAGTAAAAATTGCCTTACTCGTGTTGGAAATCTTGGTAACTGGGGACGTAGATCATTACATTGGATTGAACCTCCACAATATATCGTTTGACTTCTATTCCCTTTTACTTATAGTTTTTACATTTGTTTATTACTCAAATCCTTATATTGTTCTTTGCTTGTCATCGTGTTTGTGGCTATTTGATTCATTTACTTTTGTATTGGTTTAAATCTAGAATAAATTTTCGAAAAAGTTTATATAATCAATTCACTCCCCTCTTGGTTAGCTACGTTTGGGTTTTCAAATTACACATACGATTATTACATTACAACACGAGTCATAATGAAATAAACAATATTTACATTTTTAATAAAATAATATACAATGTACTAAGGATCACAGTTATATCCATACAAGTTGCAAGCTAACTTAAATTTCGACATATCTATTCAAGATTGGTTTATGGTTTCAATATTGCTACCAATATTCAAACACTCTATGTACTTTATTGCGAATATGACACATTCATCCTTGTAAGTAAAGAATAATATATTAGTTTGATAGCATATAGCTGAAAACTAAGTCTTGAAATTAAAAAGTAGTAAATCATTATGATAATCCTTGTCTCACTATCGTTATGTTCCGCATAATGGCTAATTTATCATTTACTTGAATCATCGCATGTCTAGCTATCATGAGAATGATCACAGCCATTGGCTCTAGTTTTGCTCCGATTGATTTTGTGTCAGACAGCTATGATCGGAGTCGTACACATATATAGTGGAATCAGTAAATACAATCTCCACTAAAAAATAGTGTGAGTTCTCGATAATTGGAAAATACATGTGTACAATCTGTCCATGGCTTTCTGCATGTCGGCTCCAGTCCAATCACTCACTCCAATGTGTATTCAAGCACCACAGATCCATTTTCCCTTGAGTAGGAGTGTGCTATGCTCAATATTAACGGCATGTGCAAACCCGAAGCTCAGGATAACTTGACCAAGAATGTCAAAAGATTTCGGGTGTCTTCGAGTCCGATCGCGTAACAATTCCATGGCCTAATCGATATGTTGAAACAAAAACACCAACAAAAAAGATAATTTATCAATATATCATAATAAATAAACAAACAACTTTCGTAAACATAATGAATAAAAACTTACATTATTGACGAGCCAAGCTGAGGTCGTCAATATATCTTTGAACCACTTTTTAACGTTTGAAATTGCCTTCTCCCCACTATCTTATAGCTATCTCTGAAAAATGAAAAAAAGTGAAATGTTATAAAAACTAAAATGATGCTCATATATACTTTAGCAAAATCATAAAATACTTATCGGATTTAAGAGATTTGAACCATTGTTTATGTATATTATTTATTTTAACTACTTATTTTAATTGCTTAATTTAATTATTTATTAATACTTAATTTAATTTTTTATTTTAGCATTTCATTAATTATTATAATTGTTTATGCACATTATTTATTTAATATTTTATTATTTATTTTAATTACTAATTTTAATTGCTTAATTTAATTATTTTATTAATACTTAACATTTAAATAATTATTTTAATTGTTTATACATATTATTTATTTAATTATTTATTTTAATTTCTAATTTTAATTAATTAATTTATTAATACTTTATTTAATTGTTTATTTTAACATTTCAACAATAATTTTAGTTGTTTATGCATATTATTTATTTTAATTGCTTAATTTAATTATTTTATTAATAATTAATTTAATTTTTGATTTAAACATTTCATTAATTATTTTAATTGTTTATGTATATTATCTGTTTAATATTAAATTATTTACTTTAATTACTAATTTTAATTGCTTAATTCAATTATATATTTTAACATTTAAATAATTCTTTTAATTGTTTATGTATACTATTTATTTAATATTTAATTATTTATTTTAATTGCTTAATTTAATTATTTTATTAATATTTAATTTAATTGTTTATTTTAACATTTAAATAATTCTTTTAATTGTCTATGTATACTATTTATTTTAATTACTTATTTTAATTGTTTATGTATATTATTTGCTTAGTTTTTAATTCATTGTATTAATTAATTAATTTTAGTTATTTAATTGTTTATTGCTTACAATTAAATAAGTAATTAAACTAAATAATTAAATATTAAATAAGTAATTAAAATAAATAATAAAACAATCAAATAAGTAATTAAAAACTAATTATAAAAAAAAATCCAAACAATTGGGCCGTCTGGAAATCCAAATCCAGATAGCCCAAAGGCTAGGCCGTCTTCCACCTCGTCGGGTTGAAAATTGGTGGAGATCATCGTCTCCGCCATTTTTTTGCCCCAACATATGAATACTTGTGCAAATTACAAATTCTACAATCATACAAAGATTTCTCAACAAATATACATAGAAAAATGCTTTATTTCCAATATCAAAGCTTACCTTCTTCAAAGTCAGAGAAATGGCGATTTGGGTTGTCGATTTTTTGGCTTCTTGGTTTGTGCTTGGGTCGTTGTTTGGTGTTGCTACAGTAACTTTAATTCTTTTCTCTCTTCACAAGTAACTGAAGTAAGGGTAAAAGTGTATTTTCATTGCTTTTCAAGTTTATAAACATTTTTGTTTTGTTTTGTTTTTTTGTTTTTAAGTTGGTCAAAGGCTATTTTGGAAAGATGGCTGGATATCTTCCAATAATTCCTCTTGGTGGGTATGCGTGTGGTGAGTGAAGAAGACGTAGTTTTTGTTTTGTTTGTTTGTTTTTTTTTTTTTTTTTGGGTTTTTTTTTTTTATTTATTATAGAAAATATAAATTTATCATTTTAACCTTCTAAAATTAGTCAAAATTTGGTCAAATCATTGACTTTTGGTCAACTAATAGAGAAAGTAATGGTTTCTATTAAATTGGACTTCGAATGTGAGTTTTTGAAAGGTTTGATACCATGGGTGGTACAAATTAAAGGTTTGGATCAAGTCTGCATAAAAGTGAAAGATTTAGTACTGTGAATACAATTTTTGCCACGTGTTAATTGTCCTTAAGAATCTTAATCTTTGTTTATTATAGTATTTATATTCCTAACTTTTTTTCTTCCAGTTCTTATATTCAATTTTTCATTAATTTACACACCTCATTCTTAATGGTTATTTTCTATTTCAAAAATCTTGTTCGTGTCCTTTTAAATGAGAAAAAAAATTATTGTATTTGTGTATTTATTATTTCTTAAAAATAATGGACAAATAAGCCGTTTAATTCCCTTTCAATGGACTTTTTGGATGAAAATCATTGCTTTTAATTAATGTAAGATTGATTATAAGAATACAATTAAAAAAAGTTGGATATATAGTGAGTGATAAAAATTGATGAACTTAAGTGTAATTAGAATGTACGGAAAGCTATTGTGTAATATAATTATCCATTTTAAATTATTGTTCTTATATATATTTGATATAATCATGTACGATCCATAATTTTATCGATAGATAAGTGGGAAAATTTGAATTATTTTTTCTTATTTTTCAGTTTTGGAGTATTTCCATCTACCGAGTAGCGAATGTATTGATATAAATTCACCAAAATTTATTTCCCTCCACCCAACCCCAATGTAGAGTTGGAGTTATAGAATGGTAGAATACAAATTCATGAAAAATAAATATGAAAATAAATATAATTAATTTTTAGTGGTTTCATTTCTGGTGCTTCAATTTCTTATAATCAAGAGTGAAGGTGGCAACTGTATATCATAGCAATATAAACATTAAAACATCAAATAACGTTATACACCACCTTAAATCAAACCCAAAAAAAAAAAGAAAAAAAAAGAAAAGAAAAAAAAAACACACAGACACACACTGACCGACTTATTCGATGACTTTCATACTCGACCTCACTAAATCAAACCAACTTAAATCTGAACCGTGACTCAAATAAGACCTTACTGAAATCGAACACACGAAATCACAATAAAGCTACAAATCCCCAGGCATAACTCTTTTTTCTCTCTACTTGGATGGTGGTGGAGACAAGAATGGGATGTTTCCAATAGAAGGAATGTTTGGCAGTGTGGGAATTGCAGGCATTGGAGGGAGAGAAACTTTAGGCATGCCTGGAATTGTTGGAAGAGTAGGTTGAATTGGAAGGGAAGGCATAGGGGGCAGAACTGTAGGGTTAGGAAGGTTCGGAATTGTAGGGTTCGGCAGTGATGGAATTGTAGGCAGACCTGGAATATTTGACTGCAGGAGATGACGTGCAGCATTGCATTTTTCTGTGCTGATGGAAATGGCGAAAAGAATGAGCATGCAAGTGTAAATGGATCTAGCCATGATTATTTCAAGAATAAAATGTAGGTTTTTTCTGGAAGCAATCTGGGAGAGGAGAAGGTTGAGAGTTTGATGATGGAAAAAAAGGGAATTTGCGCTACTTATAGAGAAAGTTGCCGCGTCAAGTTGAGTCCCTATTTGATTATGCTAAAAATTATATTTTTGAATTTAAAAAAAATAAAAAATGATGAAATATGTGTAATTGAAAAGCTGTTAAAAATTGTGAATCTCATTACATTTGTTGACGTTTACTTAAATTTTTACAATTTTTTTAACTAAACCAACATGTGTTGAATTCATTTTTGTCTACGACGCGCTCCTTACATATAGGTCATATTCCTTTTCTTTAATCAAATATTTGAGATTAATTGTTACCTCATTTAATATTACATTGAATTGTCACATTTACTCGCTCGAGGTGAGCTGCACCCATGTGAGGGATCTGGACTCTTTTATATACCCAAATTATATACAACGAGCACAATCTTAAATATAAATTATTTAAATAAATGAATTTATTAAAAGTGTGTCAGCCAACAATATAAATGTTGGTGGAAATAGGTTTCAGTTTGGTTTACGAGTGTCATTAGTTCTTTGAAAAACCTGTACATGGCAGTTGTCTTTGTTAGTTAAACCTTATTTCTTGCTAATAATGTCTGATAATATTTAATGAAATCAAGCTTCATGCTATTGTTAGGTTTTGGATTAGGAGTTGTTAAACCACCAATGAACACGTACGTAGAATTTTCTCGAAATGCTTCATCATTTGTCGAATTAAAAGTAACAAATACTTTTTTCATTATTTTGAAATAATATTGTGATCATAGTATGAATCATTGAAATTTTTGAATAATAATAGCTAAAGTGAAAGTTTCGGAAATTCACTCATATTAAATTTTCTTACTAAAAAGAATATTTTGATAGAAGATGATTTCGATAATGTTTAAAATGTATGATAGTTTACAAATTTGGATTTCATAAAAAAATGTTAAAAGTAAAGTATAAATTATTTATACCCTCCATTAAAATAATGAAATAACACTTTTTAGATCTATTTCTTTCGTTATTATTATTATTTTTTCCTATCTTTACCGAACCACCACATTGATGTGTATTTTTTGATATCATATTTTGTAAATTACATTTTCCAAATAAATTTTACTTAAAAGAAAAATTTTCACACTACAAGTTTTAATAACCAAATTACATTTTAATTGTATGAAATATTCATAATTTTTACATAATTTCAATTTTTTTTTTATCGTGTTCTTATTCTCAAATTAACATAAATTGTTCTATATTATGGTTTCTATTCAAAATTTTCTTTAAGAAATAATAAAAAATCTCATTTGCCCATATATTTTTGAATAAACAAAATAAATAAATCTACAAAAAATGATTAAATATTTGACTCTCATTTAAAGTATGTTATCAAATTTTTATTTTTATTTTGGAATAAAAATCATGATTCATGACAAGATTTTTTTATTAATGAAATATTAAAATTTAGATTGGAAGAAAAAAGTTAAGAAAGTAAGTATGATAATAAATAAAGGTTAATGACCTTTATGGTGCGTTTGATTGTAAGTATGGAATTTGTATAGAAAAAAATAAATTTTAGGTAATTCGATTGTCTAGAACTTATTTGTATGGAAATTATTAATTAAATGTGTTTGATTGATTTAATTTTCAACATAGAAAATATTATAATTGTCTGTTTTTTATTAATGGGTTGATGAGAGAGAGAAAGAAAGAGTGAATTCTCTGAAAAATAAAATCCTACTTCTCCTGAAAAAAATATTTTCCTTGATTTTGAGAGAAATATGGTCATGTGACCAAAAGTAAGAAAAATTTTTCCACGGAAAAAAGGCAATCAAAGAGCACAAAAGTAGGAATTTGGATATAAAAAATACATTTTTTCATGAAAAATATTGACAATTAAACGCAACTTTAATGTAATTAAATTGTGGCGTGAATATAAATATATAATCACTCTTGCATTTTGCAGGGAAAATAAAAATATTTACAAATTTACCATTATAAATATCTAAACGGACCAAAGTACCCTAATTAAAAATAACAAATCACGCCCTATATCGCATACTAATTATTATTCTTCAATTTGTAATTTCATTACTCTTTCATCTAAAAATAAATAAACGTTTCCCTCTTACGTTTTCTTTCTCATAAATTAATTTCCTATTAATTTAAGTATTTGCAATACATTATTCTTAATTTCACATTTATTAAATTCAGTTATTACACAAAATTATATAATTTTATCAGGAATATTCATATTCATATTTATATTTATCTTCAATTTTTAAAGTTTCTCATAATAAAAGAGCATTAAAAAAAACTATGTATGAATTCTTGAAAATTTGCTAATTATAAAGTGGTATAAAGTTATAACCTGATCTTAAAATAAATAAGAAATTCATTTTAAGTTGAAAAATAATTAATAATATCATATATTATTTTATTTTATTTTTCTGAAGAAAAAAAATGCATTCATTGAACATATTTTTTTGCGATGACAACTAATAATCTCCATTTGTCTATGTAACAATGTTAGAAAACTTTTAAATGAAGTTTTTGCTATTCTTACCGACACATTCATAATTTGTTAAAATTTATTATCTATTTTTTCAAGTTATAGTATAAAGAAAATGAATATGATAAAATTTGTAAATATCACAAATAAAAGACAATTTTTTTTAAAGAAGAAAACATTTAATAAATTATCATAAGCTTCTTATAATTAAATGTTAAAGACTAATAAAATAATTAAACAAGTGGCATGTACATTATTACATAAATTAATATATAAGGTGTGGTTTGATATTTTAATTATATGTATTTTGGTTTGTTTAGCTTTATAATGATAAATTGCAAATATTTCTATTTTTTCAGGCAAAATATATTTTTTGTTTCCCAATAAATAAAATACAAAAAGTAAATTTGCAAATTTTAAATAGACCATAAATGCAAGTGTTTTTTTTTTTTTTTTTAATTTTCCATTTTAAAATTATGTTTGGCAAAAAAGAAGAAGCTTAAAAGCAACTCCTTTTTAAAATAGCCAAACATGTTCTATGAAAAAAAGTTTGAAAGAGAAATTCCAAAGCCGTTTCAACTTTTAACAAAGTTTTATAAACTAGAAGCTTTTCCAATTGTCCGAACCCCCCATTGAAACTTTTCTATAGTTTGAAGTATATTTGTAGTAGGTTTAAACCATTAGAACTTATATTTATTGCGAATTACATTTAATCTAATATATGTGTCTATGACATTATTTAAATTCAAAATTTTTCTCTTTATCGAAGTTGGGTTCGTGAGTGCCACAGGAATGCGTCGATAGAGATCAAGCTATTATAAGACGTATTTATTATCATAATATTGAATAACATTACAATATCTAACAACATAATACAACATATAGTAACATACTCACGATACATTATAAAAAACCACAATGAAAAGTCCGACTGACTACTCGTTCAATGACTTTCATAGTCGACTTCACTAAATATATCAAACCAACTTCAATCTATATTACGACTCCAAATAAAACCTTAATGTAAAATACAATATATTGATTAAACTCATGCATAGTACTCTTTTTTCTCTCTACTTGGAAGGTGGTGGAGACAAGAATGGAATGTTTCCAATAGAAGGGATATTTGGAAAGGAGGGAATTGTTGGGAAAGGTACCTTAGGCAGGCCTGGAATGGAAGGCATAGGGGGAAGAACTGAAGGGTTAGGAAGATTTGGAATTGTAGGGTTTGGCAGTGATGGAATTGTAGGCAGACCTGGAATATTTGACTGCAGGAGACGACGAGCAGCATTGCAGTTTTCTGTGTTAATGGAAATGGCAAAAAGAATCAAAATGCAAGTGTAAATGATTCTGGCCATGATTAATTGAAGATTGAAAACTAGGGTTTCTTGAAGAAGTAATTGAAGAAGATAAGTTTTGAGTTTGATGATGAAAACCAAAGGGGATTTGGGGTATTTATAGGAAAATTTGGACGGCAAGGTCTTCTCTCTACGTGTGTACGTTGAAATATTATATTATAAGTCTTAAAGTAATTAAATTTTAGAGAGAAACAAATTAATGTATAGATTAGATTCAATTTTTTGCTTCATCAAAAGTACTAAACAACGTGAAAGGACAAATCAGATCTATTTTTTAAAAAATCACAACAGAGAAGTATACTTAACGTGCTTGAATTTTCCGAGTAAGCTATAAGGCCGCACCTAAGCTAGTTCGCGAGGCAAGTCGAGCATTTGGATGCACGTGTTTTTTTTCATATTCTTGCATGTTATGTAGAAAATTATTCTCAACGCAATTATTCGTATTTTTATTAGATATATCCGTCTCAAAAATGGCATATCCATAAAACGTAGCCCATGTTTGTCTATCATTATCAATTTTTTTTAAAATTCATTTTCAACCACATATTTTTTCAGTAAAATATTTTGTACATAAATCCAAAAATTGTTCCTACTTTTTAACAACTCATTCTCCAAAAAATCACTATTTTAAAGATCATTTTTCCCAAATACACTTATTAATGGTTATCAAACAAGGGCTTAAACTTAAGTTCCGAGAGATGGAAAAAATTATTTGTTTAAATTTTATTATCAATATAGCCCCTCACATGCGTGATTCATTTATCACATCAAAATCTTGATATTATGCACAATTGTTATAAGTAGATAGATAATGACGAGATTCATGTTTAAACCGATATCATAACAAGTCAATTCATTTGAAAATTTATATGGTCGGCCCGCTAATATATATGTTGGTGGAAATAGGTTTGGGATTGGTTTACTAGCGTCCTTTGGTTGTTTGGAAATTCTAAAGATGGCTGTTTATTAATGAAGATTTGAGGTTAACCACACAAGTGTATATTTGAGTTGTGTTATTGTTGGGTCTTGGACTAGGGTCTAGGAGTTGTTAAACCACCAATGGACACATGTAGATTTTTCTTGTAATGCTTAGGTATCCATAGAATAAAAAATAATTAAAACTTCACGTATGGTTGAAAATAGATGAACTCTTTATATGGTAAGTTTCCCCGTAGTCTCCATTTTTATTTTTATTATTATTATTTTTTTAATTTTAACTATATATTTTATAGAACTTGCGACTTTTATCAATTTTTCAATCACATATTTCATTAACTTGGAAACTAAATAAAAAATACACAGGCACTTGATTTGGTTTCTTTTGAGGATAGAAAAGTATGCACAAGGTTAAGGGAGTAAATTAGGCTAATCGATAAGGATCATCTTGATCGAGCTTACAAGTTGTACAACTGCACAAGCATCGCAATGCAGAGTAAATAATTACTCACTCTTTGAAAAAAGTAACTTTTAAACACGGTTGTTCGACCACTATGTTTTGGATTTATTCTCAGAAATTGTTTCCACCATCATAATTTTTTGCAACCGTTGGCAGTAAAAAATTGGACCATGTTTCCAAGTAGCCAAGAATTGATGCCAAGTATACTGAACAAGATTTTTCATTCATTCTTAATGAATAGAAAATACAAATAGGAGAGAGTCGGAACGGAAAATTCCATGTTGCTAGACTCGAAGAATAAGCTAATTTTTAAAATTCAAACAGTATCAATTAAAAGGATACTTCCAACATCAGGGGAGATGAAGATGCATTGCTCTGTTAAGTAAAAAGACAGGATCCTGCTAGACCAGAAAGTCAATAAAAAAGAAAAAGCAGGACCAGCAAATGAACAAAAAATATGTACAATTCATGACATCAGAGTATATCCTTAAATGTGTTGAATGTCATGGTACAAATTGTGCATGGTTGTCCAAGATACTGTTCTAGCATATTTTAGAACTGAATTCAAGAACCAGCTTCTTGTTAGCAGAAAAAATGGCTCGAACAGGAAGTATTCGACCCAGAAATTATAAACATTCAAGCTCTCTCCCCGAGTATTTAGTAATGTTTTCCATCAAGATTAGCTCCACAAAGACCTGAAAGTAAATTTTACTGTCAAATAATCATTTCTCATGAATAATCAATACTGTCAAATAAGCATTTCTCATGAATAATCAATGTCCAAAGAACATAAAACCAGAGCTGGCGGATAAACACTACACTGAATTCCATCTACATGTCCATTTTGATCATACTGATGAAAGGCATGCGAACCCTACCCACTATATTACCAGAATTCTTTCTTTCAGAAATATTCTGATACTACTGTACCTATTGATGACAAATCCAAATATTTCTTGTACAAATATGCATCATTCAATTATTTGATGGGCTTACTACAGCACACTTTGAATTCATTTATAGAGAAGTACCAGTTCAGAAATAAAAGTTACATGATCGGTTACACATAGTCCAAGCATTTATATACAGTCCAAACCATAAATCATTTATGAGGAAGGGAGGAACAAAGAGAGAGAGAGAAGCAATAATTTTTCTTTCTAGTTTATTTTATATGAAAGACAAGCCAAAGATTGCTTCTACTTTGAGGCGAGAGAAAATAAATCATTTTACAAGACAATGTCAATTGCCAACCCTTAGATTCGAGCTATCATGTTAATATGATCAATTTATGATTAAGAAGCTTACATGGTCCCATGTCGTTTAATTATTTTTTTTCCAACCGTTAAGCCTCTTATTTGCATACTGTTGTAAGTTTTGCAAACACGCCAGATGCACGAGGCTGAGCTATCTTGGTCGTTTTCATGACATAATAATTTGCACAGCTCAAAATATATAAAAATAGCAGATACATTCCTCTCAAATGACGAATTTACAAAAAAAAAACTGAAAAATAAGCAAGAAATTGATCTCTGTTCTCAGAAGTATAAAGTTTAACGAGAATTGCTTGTCCTCAATCCAAATTTGATTACAAAAGTTTCCTTCTGATTAGTAAAGTATGAAAATTGTTTGCTGCATCATACAGAAATTGGACTAAGATGAGAGGTACCTCCGGTATTGAGAAACATTAATGTTCTCCAGCTCTCTCTCTTACCGATTTTTCTGCAAGTGCAAGACATATAAACTAAATTAACATGGACTTCACAAAAAAACTCTTGAATAAGTTTCTAGAACACAAACCAAACAAAAATACACACGTGAGGAGCAAAGACGGCAAATGACCAGTTCAAAATTGCAAATAGGCAGCAATCTAATAATTACAATATTAATATTCTTCAATGTATTGTCAACAATATGTATATACTAGTTTCTAGGATATTTGAACTTAAAGGGGATGAAGCAACAATAAGTCACGCAATATTGATATATGAGTAAAGCATGTTGACCCCAGAAGCAGGAAACTTAAACAGCTCCATTCTTCTATAGCTCACAGTATAATATTTTTTAAGACAAGCAGATTACAACTTTGTAGCCAGAGTTCATCACTTATCTAAAAAGAGAAGAAATGTAGAAGAAATCCTCTTGTCTCAGAGCTATCAAAAACTTGATATGCATGGAAGAAAAAATTATGAACTAAATTTATCAATTTCTGTAGATTATGCAAACATACACCATAAATTGAACTGTGAGCCTCAGCCCCAATTTTTGCACTCAATCTGGCCATTATCCTCCACCTTCATGTCATCATGACCATGCAATGACATTGATACCATCAACAATTCCTAATGAATCTTTCAAGACCAAAATATCATCATCTTCAAGTTTCAATAACTTCAACTCTAGCAAAATACTCATTAGCATATATACTTGCAATCTTCATCTCAGCAGACTGGTTACAATTGTTTCCCCCCTAGTCCAGCACTCACCCCAGCTTTTGCCAAAACAAAATAAATAAATTAGCCCAAGTTTCTAGATGATTTTGTAACAATTTACTCGACACATTTACAGGATCTCATATCTATTAACAATACCTTAAAAATCATAATCCACAGGTAATCTTGTAATTTTGGAATTCCACGTACATCAAATAACACGAGATTCACAATGCCATACTAATGAAGAAGCAGAATATAATTTGTGAGGCCTTCCATATTCAACCACCCCTTTAAATTTGAAGATGAGCAGAAGAAGAGAGGATCATACCCTGCAAAGATCCAGCTGACATCATTCGATCCATATTGTCAATTCGTCGTTGTATAGACTTCAAAACAGAATTTAAAGCTGTGACCCTTCTCCTAACACCAGATATCCTTGCAGCGTGCTGCATAATAAATGGCGAAGGAGCATCTTCTAGCAATTTATCAAGCTCTGTAAAAAGTACAAAGTTAGACTTCAAAAAAAGGCAATAAAAATAGTGTACAAGGGACCACTGAGCATCATATAGAAACCAAAAAACATAAACACTCCCGAATATCCTTTAGAATCCCACTTACAAGTGTTCATTTCCTTACTCAATAAACCCAAACAATAAATGAGAAGAACTACTTGGTTGACAAATATTACATCCTTCCCATAACCTATAATACAATTACACACGCGCGCGTGCATATAGTGAGAGGCAGAACTACTAAGCTCATGTCAACTTCGTAGTTTGTTGCAACAGTGGATAAGCTTTAGCCTCTTTCCCTTTGTAACTGAATTATTCTAACAGATAAAAGAAAACTTTGAATTCTTGGAAGCATTAGTTATAAAGTTACCAAGCACACAAACCCCCAGATATTCATATGGTAAGCCAGAGAACCATATTCAATAACTGCAACAAAGAAAATTAAGAGCTAATTTCAAATTACCAAAACCAAACCTCAGCAACGAATTCCATGCAAATCATTTAGAAAATTAAAATGCAACCTACCTACAACTCGATAACTTCAAATAGGCGCATCGAAGCAAAGCTTTAATCTTTACACGCCACATATAGCAATGGAAAACAATGACAATTAACAATTCACTCACAGAAATTAGAATTAAAAAAGTTAATATGAGTAACCTCCGGTGAGGCGATCGAGGGAGAAGGCGAGTTGTTCTTGACTGCGAGAGGTTGCTTCAGCCGTGGAATCGAAATCCGTGATTGTAGAAGAAATCAAAGAGGACAATCCCTTTGCCACTGAAGAATTCGAACTAGTTGCATTACTATTACAATCCTCACCATTAACAACAACGCTTGGTACCTCGTCGGAGCCAGGATCTTGAGGACGGTAATCTAGGGTTTCGTTCGACATAATTCGTTATCAAAATTGAATCAGAGATGAGAAATTTTTCTTGCCTGGAACATAGAGATAGGAGTAGAAATTAACTGGGTAATATCTGATTAATTATAAAAAGCCTCTCCATGTTTGCGGTGTTTGCTATCCACAACCACCATTTATGAAATATGCTCATAGACCCTCGTGAAATTACCTCAATGAAAACGTAGTCAAATTACAATTTCTTTTTTTTTTTTTTTTTTTTTTTTTTTCCTCATGCGGGATTTAATTATGTAATTATATTCATTAATAAAGAATTAAAGACAATTGCTACGTTAAGAGAGTGAAAATGAAAAATAAAACAAACAAAAATTCGGCATTAACGTATTGACAAAAATACCCTGCTTCACTCGATGACAACTCTGAAAAACGAATTAGGGTTTTTCTAGACCTCTTATAAATATCGAAAGGATCGACATCATTCTTCACGATCGCATTCGGCGATTTCATTTGGACAAATTCGGCGGACCACGATAAAGAGTCGGTGAAAAACCTAGGGCAACATGAGGGCTAAGGTATGTGGTCCCTTGCTAATCCTTTAGTTATTTTTTCTTAATTTTGCATCCCAGATATAATATTTGAGTAAAATCTTGTTTATGATGCTCTTAAATTGGTTGTCGGGATTGTTTCTGTAATTTTGTTTAGATTTAGGTAAGTCTACGTGATTATAATTTCCGGGGTTAATTTTTTGAATACTATTTAATTTTTGTTTCTGCTCGGTTATTTTAGGTGATATATTTTTATTAGAGTAGTTACTCATTTGCAATCTTATTAAATCAATATCCGCTATAGTTTTTGCAGAAGAAAAATTACGAGAAGGACGCGAAAAATAAATGAAAGGCTGATTATAATATTATTGAATGACGATCATAAGACATAAGCAACTCATTTATTTCTATTTATAATAAAATAAGAATAACAACTCTCCACTATTTTGTAACTAGTGTCTATCCAAACATCAAATAACAAATTAACAATTTGCATTTATCCTTTAATTTGAATTTAACAAGCTCATCACTTCAGAATTTTCTGGTCTCCTTATCACTTATTTGATTCTTATCACTTGTTTGATCCTCATCATTTCTGTTGCCAATTGTACAACATTTCTAACATCCCCGCAAACTGTTCTGGGGCTGAAGGCACAGTTTGTTTTGAAAAATTGAGAGCTGCCATGGACATTGATTTGGCGAAGAAGTCGACGATGATTTTATCTTCATTCTTGGAAGATATGTCATGTATATATAAGCATTTCAAATGCTTCCCATACTGCATGGGTTGTGTTGAAGCTTTTAACGAGTTTGAGGGTTTTTTCAAATTATTGAGATGATCCAACCATGAACGAGGACATCGGACTTTCACAAAACAGTGAATTTGTTAATTTTGGATTTATTTATTTTTTTGATATAATGTATTTGGTGGGAACAAGGTTTTTCATTGGTGGAATGGTCAACATGTTCTGGAACTCATTTGTCAATTTTGATATGAAATTTGCAGCTTCTGTTGTTTTGTTTGGATTTGGTGGGATGTATTTGATGGGTGAGGATTAATGAGATGTGTGTAAAGAAGTTGTTAACATTTGCGGATAGTAAAGTGATGGTGGAAGAAATGATTTGTAGTATGCCAAGTGCTTACAATGGCTTTGATACCAAGAAGAAAAAATACGAAAAGGAAGCGAAAAATAAATGAAAGACCGATTATAACATTATTGAATGACGACCATAGGCCATAAGCATCTAGCACACATTTATTTCTATTTATAATAACATAAGAATAACTACTCTCTACTATTTTGTGACTATTGTCTATCCAAACATCAAGTAACAAATTAACAACTTGCATTTATCCTTTAATTTGAATTTAACAAGCTTATCACTTCAAAATTTTCTGGTCTCCTTATCACTTATTTGATTTTCATCACTTCTTTGATCCTCATCATTTTTATTGCCAATTGTATGACATTTCTAACATTTGCAAGTTTCCTTTACTTTGTAGGTCTACATGATTATAGATTTCCTTCGTTGATTGTCTCTTTTTTGTGTTTTTTTGTTTCTGTTTTGCTATTATTAATTCGATTATCTGGAAGTTATTCTTGTTAAAGCATAAGCCCGAAAACACAATATGTGCCCCAGCTACACCTTCGTAACTCCAAATCCCCGGATTCGTTACAGTCCCTCCTGTGATACTCCAACCTCCCCATGAATTGGTTATTCCTAAACGAGTTCTGCCGTAGCAGGTTACAGGAGTCCCCTTGCTAAATACTTGTAATTGGTCTGAATTTATTGATTCTTCTTTTTATCTTGTAATGCAAATATGAAATTTGAGTCATTTCTTAATCTGTAGAAAGCACTCTCGGATTCAATTATTAAATGGCCTTTGCTGGTTTGTTACTGTTATAATTGAACATAACTTGCCTGACAAACAAATTCAGCAGTGTCACTTTTGAATTTTGTACAGGATGCATTAAGTTGACTGTTGAATTGGAAAGCAAAAATAAAATTTTTAGTAGCAGTAAATTTTATTGAAAGATATTATGTGATGGTAATGTGCAATATATATTTCTTACATTTAGCTTTTGGGGTTACCTGGTTCCAATTCGTGCATTTTACAGTGGATGTGAAAAATAACAAATCCTACTTGTTCACTAATTTTGCTCAAAAAGTAGTAAATTTTGTGGAAAGATAATCGATATTGATAATGGGGAATATATATTTTTGGCTTTAGGTTTTGAGATGATAAGTTCCATTTTAATGCATTTTACAGTGGAAGAAGAAGCGTATGAGAAGGTTGAAGAGGAAGCGCCGAAAGATGAGACAAAGATCCAAGTAGAGGATGGAAATCGATAGTGAGATTGTTCTTTTTTCAGAACCAGCTTCTTTTCTGGCTGACTAGCAATCACGATGAACTGAAGGAAGTTCTGTATAGGGAGCTTTCTTGTTGTCTATTCTGTTCCTATCTTGACTTCGAGCGTCTTGTTTTCTATGAGTTTTGAGAAAATTTAGGTTTTACAGTAATGACTAGCTTCTGCTACTTTTATGTTGTCATTTGAGTGAAAGACTCATGTTAAAACCTATTTTATCCATTCTGCGCAACTAAGAATGGATGCAGTGTTTTTAGCCATATATCTCTATTGATGTCTTCTTTCATTTATTGCTTTTGGCTCAGCAATCGGCATTTGGTGAACAAGTTTTTGGTTAGTTGGGTGCATCAAATTCCTTTTGCCTTGTTACTTTTGATGGTTTTCATGTTGTGTTTGCTTGAACTCAAACTGCAAGTATACTACATTCTTTTCCTCTGTGGGATATATTTTTCTTGGATCTTGATACATGAGGGTAATTGAAGAAGCTGTCATGGATTCAAAGATGTTTAAATCTATGATCTATCTGGTTGGAGTTTTGCTACTCTTCGAATAAATATTGAGATTGAAAGAGTATTTTGAGTGAGATTCTATTTCCATTTTCCAATGAAATGCTTCCATGGAATTTGTTGCCTCAGCTAGATTTTTGGTATGTGCACAGTGCAAGTATGATGGTTCTCTGAAGAAGCTTGACAAATAGGTTCTCCTGTTGAACACTAGTTTACTTAACGGTAAATAGTGCATGTAATGCACTTTTAACTTGGCCAAGTGGTGAGTCACAATTTTCTATCATTTGGAGACATTTTGACTTGTGCTGTCGATTCTATGCACTCTTATAGCTTGTTTGTTTAGCTTCCTCTGAGATGCTCTCAATGTTGGTTACCCTCTTAAGTTGCAGGCACTATGTTCTTTATCTTTGTCTGTCTTTATACTGTCCATATTTGATAGCATCACTACTTTGAGGTCATTTTAGCCTCGAAAACTTGCTTTGTCTTAGACATACAGAAGCCAACAAGCTCGTTAATAAATGGGCCTTAGCCGTTCAACTTGGAAGAAAAGGAAGCGAACGTTGTAACAAGTTTTTGTGGCAAGAGTTCTCTTCAACCAGACAATTCTATACACCCAAATTGATGTGAACCTATGTGGTCAGATCGCTACCAAATCCACAAGCAACTTTCGACCTGAACACGGAACTTGTTCCATTTTGAGTCCCGAACATGGTTTCATCAATGGTCTGCTTGATGAGCAATTTCATCGCTTTTTTTACTCGCGTTGTTCTTGATCGCATCATCGGTCCACTTTCGATTATCAATGGATTTTTCCTCAAGTTTGACGTTGGACTTGACTTTGACGCTTACATGTCTTTGGATCACATCACAACTTCACGAATTAATCCCTCTCTATCCATCCATCCTAAACTGTCTATCTTAGGCATAGGATCATATATGTTTGGGAAGTGTTTTTAAATGGTTTAAATAAATAGATAGAAATAAGTGGAAGATACTTGTGAATTCCTAAAAAAATGTGTGAACAGAAATTGGCGCAAGTATTTATTACAAAGATGAGCTAAATGTAGGGGCCGAATGTTGATCTATATGAGAGAATGGAGGTGGAAGTCAAGAGTAGCGGAACTTCGTTTTCAAGATTGCATAGGAAAATGCAACTCATGAAAGTGATACACAAACTATGTCCTTACCTTTCCAAAAAACGAGATATGTGATAGTTCAAAGTCAGGTTGAAAACGTCTGTGCATATGTCTATCATGGACAACTCGTTAAAAACTTGCAGTCCAATTTGACTTGGTAACGACACATGAATCTTGCGAGTTGTACTGGTGGGGCTCATTAATTTTAAGTCCGTGAATGCAGCTGCGGGTCCTCATTTTCTCCAAACCAGGAATATAAGGTAAACCTACTAGGCGTAAACCCTTTTTCCAATACAAGAAATGGTGTTGCCCAACTAACATGCCAACAATAACTTCTTCCAACAACTTTCCACCTCAAAATTTAATCAAGGGTTCAGGATTCTTTCAATTCTTGATGCATTTCTCAGAAAATATTTAAAAAATAAATAAATAAATAAAATATATATGGATCATGTGTAAAATTATTATATTGAGAAAATGTAATTGAAAATGAGTTTGAAAGAAAAAATATTTAAAAGAATTTGTAATAAGTAGGGGCTTAAACTCATATTGTACTGAATATTTATTATTCTAGTAGTAAAATAGTTTCCTGTTGTAAAGACTTGCAAATCATTTTCTAATATTTTCCTTCATGTTTTCACGATTAACCTCTAATAGCACAAGTTATCCAAGTTTATATTAATCCAAACAAAAAAATTTATGCAATTCAAGATTTGATGGAATTGTTACTTCGAACGTGGCCACTACGTGATCCACTTTTCAAGTATACTAAGATTTTCTTAGGAAGTCATAATTATTGATGAGTTGATAAAAGAAAAAAGAAAAAAAAAAACATTTTTCTTCTTCATTTTCCATTCCAAAAACGCTTCATTATAATATTCATGCTCAAATAATAATAAAATTAAGCAAGCCCTCTTTTATAACAATTTTTACTAAACATTTGATAACATACCCATGTGGGGTTACAATTTTAAGGATTAATTAACATTTAATTACTAAAAAATTATGAGAAGTAGTTGATTAATAATGAAAAGCCATGTCCGAACAAATAAGCTGATTAGATTGATTTTTAGTAATTGGTGGTATAATTAATTAACTTACACAAGAGATCATGTTGTCTACATAGCTTTGACTTTTTTTTTTTTTTTTTTGGGTGGAATCATGCAAGAAACCAGTATGCATGAGCAAAAATAATAAATCGTATTTGATAAATCGCCAAAATTTCAATAAAATGAGTCATCCTTGGAGTTAATTGTGACAATAAATTAAGAGAATTTTGGAAAACGAGATAGAAACTTGTCTTGTCCATCTCTTCCTCCTTCAAAACTATCTAATAACCTTTCCATGATCCTTGACTGAGATGTATTGACGGGCACGGTACAAATAATTAGTACATTTGCGGAAAAGTGATTAAACAGTCTTATATTTTGAGTAAATTTGATAAAAGAACGTGTAATTAAAAAAAATTATTGACTTTAACTTATATTGTTAGTACTACCGTGCTACAGAGCTCGGGTTTAAATCCCGGGCTCCAATCCAGGCCGAGGTGGAAAGTGTTTCCACCTTGGCCAACATCTTCTGCACTTGGGTGGCCCGCCATCAAAATTGGGGGCAGAGGCAGGCTTTGCCACCTCTACCCCTGGAACGGAACCTGGGATGTTCTTCAACATTTTCCTTGTTATCAACTTTTTAGCTAATCAAACAATAGTCAAATAACTTGTGGAACATCTTTCTAATTTGGGAGAATACTTTCAATCAAGAACCTCAATGGTTCACGACACCATGAAAATTATTTGGTGCATTACTTTTTTAATTGCATTACTCAATCTTTTTTATTATTGTACTTATGTTTTCGACTATTTTTCATCGTATTTTTATTTTCAATCTTTCATTAATTAGTTATCATGTCACTCTGTTAGAGTTGACAATGAACTGAGACGAGCCGCTCATTCTCTTAAATAAAATTCTTATGTGCCTCTCGGGAAAAAAGTGACACATAAAATTTGTCCATCAATTCAAAAGATGTTGACCAAATACTTGGACAGAAACAATAATAAGAAACCAGACTTACTAACTAATAGAAGTTTAAAAATAAAAATCGTTAAAGGACATAATGTGACAATAAAAAAATATTAAGAACATTTAATGCATTAAAAAGTGATGCTTAAAAAGAAATTGTAGTGAGAATATAATTATCTTATCTTAACATTTATCCCTGATATTCTCGGAAAAATGAAAATATATAAGTGCTTATATTACGGAATAGACTCCGCAATTCGCACCAATTACGGACTGACCAGATCTCCGTTCAATCGTGCAAGAATAATTAGGGATCTCCGTTCAACAAAACTGCTCTCTTCCCCGAATCGGGAAGAGAGCCTTTTTCCCGATTTTCAATTTTTTATTCATTTGATTGCCTTTTGCCTTTTTCAACTCCCCACCCCCTACCCATTTACTAATTTTTGTACAATATCTTAAAGGTACGATTTAAATCGTGTAAAAAAATTTTAGGTCCCCAATATAGGAAAAACTATACTCTTTAGGTCCCCAACTTATCACTCTAATAGCATGTTAATCTTCAATGTTTGTAAGATCAAGTTTACCCTCAATTTTTTTTTACTTGAGTTGCACGATGAATCCTCAATATATATCATTATTTACAGATTCTTTTACCGATTAACTATGTGGCGATAAATTGAAATAAAACTGTCAAAATCTCATCATCGCTTAAGTGATTGTACTTATGTAATGTATAAGGGCAAAAAAAAAATTAGGAGATTTTTATTTAGTTTGTGAGATTTTGATTCAATCAAATCTCATCACGTCATTCGTTGCTAAACAAATTGTGTGTGTGTAGCACAACTATAGATAAATAAGATACAAACTTACACTGAATTACCTTGCCCAGAAACATGATTCGTTTCAAATATGCGAACATCAAACATTGAAGTAAAACCCAATCTCATAAAATTGAAACGTGAGAGTGAGACAATTGTTTAACTACAGTTAAAGGTTGGGTATCAACTTGTTCCTTTTTTCTAGGGATCAATTTACTATCGAGGTGAAATGTTCAAAAACAATAATTCAATACCTCGCGCCCCACTGAAACAACCCTTTAAGCATGTGGGCAAGTTTGATCATTAGTAACTTTTTAATAGGAATAATAGTTACGAATTATATAATAATGATTAATAATTTTGAGCTCACGATTGCAATTAAAGATTGACTTCCACCAAGTAATTGAAGTAACTTTTAAGCTATTGATAATATTTCCCATTAAATACCGTAGAACAAACTTCTTTTTTTCCTCCTTAACCAAACCCTGAATAAACCCCTTCCCATTCGGACTTGCAATTTCTCCTTTTCCTTCCCCTCCCGGCCTCGCACTCTCCTCTCAACATCTACCATCCCAAAATCAAAATCTGCACACAATACAGATATTATTTGCATACAACTCTTCTAACACACAGCAGAAATTGATAACGTCCCTATCTAGTGTCCAAAGGAAAACGAAAAAAACAAGAAGTTACGGATATTAATGGCTGTTGAAGCACGAAATATCAATCTCTTCCCTCGACAGATTCTAGAGAATAGGTAGATCGTGGATCCTTTTTCTTCTCTAGATTTCCTTTTTGTACTTTTTGTTGATGTGATATGTGATATAAATATTTTGATTGAATGCAGAGAAATAACTATGAATGGATTTGGAAGCAATGGAAATATGTACAGTACTCCGATAAGTTACGGTATAATGGCGCCTTTATCGGGGACCGTGATGGCCACGGAGACGGTTGTTCCGGTGTACCGATCCGCGATCAACGAATCTATTCCAGTTTCAAAAAAGCGTTCGAGAGACGTTTTGCTTTCACCATTCCCTATTGTTGTTCAGAATCAGAATCAGAATCAGAATCAGAATCAAAATCAAAATCAAAACGGCAGTTGCGCTTCTTGCACGTTTCTCGGTGAGGATAATTCCTTTCAGATCCAACAACAGTCATTGGAAATCGATCGATTAATCTCTCAACACGTAAGATTTTAATTTCGTTGCTTTATTTCTTATTTTTAACCTTTTTTGAATTTATCCGTAATGGATTAATATGTTGTTCGGTGATTTGAATGACAGACGGAGATAACGAGGGTTGGAATTGAAGAGAGAAGAAAGAGACATTCTCTGAGAATAGTAAAGGCGGTTGAGGAAGAAATAATGAAGAAACTAAAAGGAAAAGAAGAAGAAATTGAGAAGATTGGGAAATTAAATTTGGCATTGGAAGAGCAAGTGAAATCGCTATGCGAGGAGAACCAAATATGGAGAGATTTGGCACAGACAAACGAAACCACGGCCAACGCCTTGAGATGCAATCTCGAACAAATCCTCAACCAGGCCCAGGACGATCACTACCACCAGCCACGGCGGCGGAACGAAGACAGCGAACCTCAATCGTGCTGCGGCAGCAACTTCGATCCAATCAACGGGGAGAGAGTGTGCAGGAGCTGTAAGAAACAGGAATCGTCCGTATTGCTTTTGCCGTGCAGACATCTCTGCCTCTGTACTAATTGCGAATCATTTCTCCATACTTGCCCTATCTGTAACTCTTTCAAAACCGCTACTATTCATGTTAATCTATTTGACGATCAATTATGACAAAAATTCAGAATTACAAATTCGTCGCAAATAGTACAAGTTTTTCCCTTATCTTCATCTGGTCATGAAATGAATGTGTGTAGTCAACTACTGAATGGAAAGTCACGCAGTAGTAGCGCAAATGTCGCTGTTGTAGAGCGGTACGAGGAGTACGTACCTTGTGCATGGTGGAAAATGTGTAGACTGTAGTGGTACCGACGTGCACGGTGGAGAGAAAATAATGAAGAGAAATTACCTTGAAAGGGGACTGTCGTGTAAGTCTTTGAGACAGTTTCACTGAAGCTTGTTTGATTCTCTTTACTTTAATTTATTTCTCTTTCATACTTATTTTTAATCACATTTACACAATAAAATTTTTTATAAAATTTTTTACACGTAGTACAAAAATTTTTGTTACTTTTTAACGGCTCAGTCTTCAAAAAATACCATTTAAAACTATATTTTTTTAAATTTTAAGGCCACGAAGGTTTAGAAATTTTGGGATCAATTTGATTATTGTTTCAATATATATATATATATA